TGCCTCCAAGCATGTCACACATTGTCTAAAAAAGAGAAAAAAAGTTTTTGTGAGTTTTTACGAGGTGTGAAGGTTCCATTTGGTTACTCTTCCAATGTGAAGAGACTTGTATCTATGAAAGATCTCAAATTGCTTGGGTTAAAATCTCATGATTGTCATGTATTGATGCAACAACTTCTACCTGTGGCTATTCGAGGTATCTTACCGAGACAATGTTAGATATTCCTTAACTCGATTATGCTTTTTTTTAATGCCATATGTAGTAAAGTTATGGACCCGGATGTTTTGGATCAGTTAGAGAATGAGGCTGCAGTAATATTATGTCAATTTGAGATGTACTTTCCTCCATCATTTTTTGATATTATGGTTCACTTGATTGTTCATCTAGCCAGGGAAGTTAGAATCTGTGGTCCAGTTTTCTTACGATGGATGTACCCTTTTGAGCGATACATGAAAATATTAAAAGGGTATGTGAAGAACCAATATCGTCCTGAAGCATCAATTGTTCAAAGATATATTTTAGAGGAAGCTATTGAGTTTTGCACAAACTACTTATCGAAGTTGAAGCTATAGGGTTACCTAAGACTCGTTACCATGGAATAGGTCTTGGTAGAGGAACTCGAGGTGCAAAAGTTGTGACAATGTGTCGAGATGAAGTACTTCAAGCGCATTTGTACATATTGAATAACAGTGAAGAAGTCATCCCCTACTTAAGTGCTCATAAAGAGATTGTGAAGCGAAATAATCCACGTATGCCTAAAAAGTGGGTGATCACTGAACACAACAAGAGCTTTTTGAAGTGGTTTAAACAACAAGTTGAAGGTGACAATACGAGCTTCGATACACTAAAGTGGCTAGCATGTGAGCCAAACTTTGATGTGATATGTTGGGGTGGGTATGATATAAATAACTATTCATTTTATACAAAGGGAGAAGATGAAATAAGCACAATGCAAAATAGTGGAGTCATGGTGGTGGCTGAATCAATGCATTTCTCGAGTTCAAAGGATAAATATCCGATAAGGGCGTCAATGGGCTACTTTGGTGTAATTGAAGAGATTTGGGTAATAGATTACACGATATTCAGAGTACCTATTTTTAAATGCAAGTGGGTTGATTTTAATACTGGCATCTTCACCGATGATCTTGGATTTACCTTGGTTAACCTTGAAAATACTCGTTATATCGAAGAACCATTTATCATGGCATCTCGGGCAAAACAAGTCTTTTATGTCACCGATCCTCGCTAACAAAGGATGGTCGGTGGTTCTACAAGGAAAACCCATGTATACTTCGATGAGAATGATGAATTAGTACTTGATATACCCGAGACACCATGTTTCTCTTCAAATATGCCAAACTTGAGTGTTAATGTAGAAATAGATGATGTGCATGCCATCCGTTATGACCATATGGAAGGATTTTGGGAGAATGCTCCAACTTGATAGGAAATTTAAGCATTCAATCTTCATAGGAAATTTAACTTGTAACAATTTAGATAGAATTGATTTAAGTTAGGAAATTTACATTCGTTTAAGTAAATGAACTGTCTGGAACTGGATCTCGTACGTACATATATTCATTTCAATGTGTTTCATATGTACATATCTATCTCGCAATCGAATCGTACTGTACTTGGATATATATCTCGTAGCAAATTTATATATGAACTGTGCATATCCGTCTGTACTTGGATATGTGGTTATTTGTCTGGAACTGTGATGAATAGGCAGTGTCTACTCGAAGAAAGGTAGCATCTGTAAATAAAATGCAGGTATTTTAAAAAAAATAACACTTTCTACGTCGGTTATGTCATTACCCGACGTAGAAAGTACTTTCTATGTCGGTTATAATTTTAACCGACATAGAAAGTAAGACTTTCTATGTCGGTTATAAGTGTTAACCGACATAGAAAGTATATGACCGATCAGAACCAGTATGACCGATCAGAATAGCTCATACAAAATAAGACTTTCTACGTCGGTTCCCTGACTAACCAACGTAGAAAGTATTTATGTGACCGATCAGAACCAGTTATGATCGATCAAGATAGCTCTATGACCGATCATAACCAGTTTGACCGATCATAATAGCTCAAAGAAAGTAAGGCTTTCTACGTCGGTTCCTATTAACCGACGTAGAAAGTCTTACATTCTACGTCGGTTATTAGGAACCGACGTAGAAAACCTTACTTTCTATGACCCCCGTATCTATGTCGCCGCTTTAACCGACGTCGAAAGCCCATTTTAACCGATGTAAAAAGCCTTTTCTGCAGTAGTGATTTCTAATATATGAAAATATATCTCACGTGAATATATCTTTTATTTATGTATTCTATATTTTTAAGGTTTTATGTATGAGTATTTATGATATATAAAAATATATCTTATATTAATATATCTTTTATTCATGTACTATATATATATATAGTAAAAATATTATAAAATATCAAATATTAATAATATCTCAATCATAACTATCTAAATCAAAATAATGATCTAATATCTTTTTATCTTCTTTCTTAAAAGATAATAACATATCTTAATACCTAAAATAAAATATAATAAAGTAATATTCTCAACATTCCTCCTTACTTTAGGATCTATTTATTTAGTTTCATCATCTACATCTTTATTTTATTTTTTTAACATTAAGTTTATTCAAGAAATATTCATGATATTTTTTTTACTTTTCTTTTATATCCTAACTTGTAGTGAACTATTATTTTATCAAATCTCAAGTGAAACTTTTTCCTTTCATGTGAACTTTAAGTTATTTGTATCTTTAATCACACAAAGTTTTTCTTCAAAAGACACCTTATAACAAATTATGATTAATATCAGGAACATGTCAAACATCAAAAATTAATTTGATACCCGAATGACTTTTAAATGCAATTGTTCACATAACTTTCACATCTATTTATTTGTACAACCACTGTCTATAAGTTAATATGTGAATTTGTTGATTGTAGAGCATGTTGACGCAAGAAGAAGTTCCACTTCTACTTCATCCTCTATAACCTTCATGAGTTCTTTTGATTGTGATTTGTATATCTTTTCTCTATATGTCCCAATTGACCACATTTATGATATTTCACATGAGGCCTCTACAAACACTTGTTGGGTATGTGATTATTTTTCTCACAATAAGGACAAACAAAAAAGACAAATGATTTGATACATTTGTTGTTCTTGACTTGGAGAAAATCTTTACCATGATATAGTAAAGAACATTCACCAGCAGCATGATATTCTCTCATTAATATTCATTACTCTTGCGCTTGTAAAACATGTATCACTTCTGTTAAAATAATATTAGACAATAATCCTTTGTATTTTCCAACGAGATAATACATGTTTCATATCTCTCTAACACAGTTACTATAATTTTCTCAACTATTTGAAATTAGGAAATACCTTGTCTAACAATTTTATTTTGTTAACAATACCTAATAATTTGTTTAAGTATTCATTAGCTATCTCAAACTCTTGCATTCTTTATATCTTAAATTCCCTTATCAAGTTTAGAACTTTCATACCGTGAATTTTCTCGTTCCCTTTATATTGATATTTTAAATAATCCTAAATTTTTTTGGATGACTTTAGCGTCACGATTCTTGTGAGAATCAATTTTGAAACACCAACAAACAGACATGATTTAGTTTTTTTTTTCTCATTTTTTTCTCCGAAATTATATTTGAGTTATGGTAAGATTTTCAGACGACGAATCAATGATGTAATCCTCTTTCACAACTTCTCGTATATTCAATATTTTAAGATATGATTACATTCTTACAATTCATAAATCATAACTTTCGCCATCAAAAATTGAAATTGGGACTTTAAGTTTCTTTCTCCTTCCATTGTCTCTAACCAAAACTCCGATACCACTCGATGAAAATTTATAAGATTTTGTGTATGTGTATTTTTAATATATGAAAATATATTTCATACGAGTATATCTTTTATTCATGTACTCTATGTATATATAGAGTAAAAATATTACAAAATATTAAATATTAATAATATCTTAATCTGTCTAAATCAAAACAATGACGTAATATGTTTTATCTTCTTTCTTAAAAGATAATAAAATATAATAAAATAATATTCTCAACCGTTTTAATACAGGAAAATATATTTATTTGAGACTGATATTAATAAGCAATATTAATCACAAATACTTTGTAATTCTATCTTACTTAAACCAATATAAATAATATACCAGAATTGTAAAAATGAAAACGTGTTTATAGAATTTTTATCAATATTATTTTAAGTATTAACTAATAATTATTTAATATTATTAATTATTTCACTCTTAAATAATAATTATTTAATACTTAATTATTTTAAGTATAGAAACTTTACAAGAGATGATTCTTCACTTTCCAATAAACTTCACCTTTTAAAAATGTTGGGAGGACAGAAGTTAGAAATGTTGAAATATATGTTAGGATTTCCACAACAAACATAAAAATCAGATTTAATGAATTGATAATTCATGACTCGTCATTTGGTAAGATAATTTTTGTTTCCCTACCAACTGCATAAATTGAGAGAATGAATGAAATGTACTATGTCCACCACATGCTTCAACACATATTATGAGAATTGTGTTAAAGCTTGAAACTATTAGCGATGATGGTAGTCTGAAACATGATCGTAAAAATTTAGAAGCCCTAGAATTTATAATGTGTGTGGTTTTGAGTATGATGGGGAAATGAGAAATTGATAAAAGAAGAAAGATTTGGTTTTGTCCTGAAAGATATGCTACCATGTGTGTGTCCGGAAGAAAACTGCGATCACGTGAAGAACAGAAGAATCTGACTAAAGCTTCTTCCATAATCATATAGCAAAATTGTTTATTTTTTTTGGCCTCCAGTTTTTACTTTGATTGGGGTGGACATTAATTAAGATTGGGGCAATGGAAAGACCAACATTACGGAACAGAAAAGTGGCATTATAGTTGCTGTTACTGCATATAATTTATTACTCTCAGTTTGACCACGACACTCTTCCCCCACCATCAGTGCAGACAAAACTCGCATTTATTAGGGCTTTGTTTGGTATATCAGCTTCTGCATCTGCATGTGCTCCAAACAATGGATCAACCATATACCCCTTACCCATTACACCTACCTACTCATCATAATCAAATCAACAGCATCAACAAAACAACTAGATTATATATATTCTACTAAAAACCTGTATTTGGAAAAGAAAAAACTTGTTATTTACCACAACAAAAAACGTTAATATGAAATTGTTGTTAAAAACCAGCCTTTGAAAATGTATAATATATTAAAAAAACTTAGTATTCATGAACCATTGAATATATGCACAGTGGTTAGGTTAGTATAAAATAAAATTGTTGTTTGTTTAGTTATTTTATTTCTCTGAATGTGTATAAAAAAAAATGACACATTTATGGAGATTCTAGAGAGAGAAAAGAAGGTGTAATAAAAAAGTTGTCTCTCCTCACCCCCAACTTACGTGTGGATGACAAGGATGAAGAGAAAGAGCAGAAAGCACGAGGTGGGGGACCACAGACCACAAACCCACATGGTGTGCCATGGAGTACACTAGTGTGAGAGAGAGAGAGAGCATAAAATCTTCAACTGTGAAATTAGGGTTAGGTATGGTAGTTAGAAAGTCCAATATCACGCCCTTGTTCCCCAATGGGACCATAATGCAATTCAATAACATCTCGCAAATCAACATTATCTTCTTTCTTTTTGTATTTCCAACTCAACAATAATGAAAGCATAAAATGCAATTGGAGGATTGTAGATTAGATATTGAAAGATGGCGAAAGGGGACTGAAATTTGTGTTTAGAATGGAATGGTAAAAAAAAATGCAATGAAGAGAGGAGAGAGAGAGAGAGAGAATTGGAGATGGAGTTTGAAAAGTATAAAAAATGAGGGGATTAGGTTTTCTGGGTTGGCGGCATGCTAACGTGGCAGGCATATGAATGGGATGGAAAAAGAGAAAACGTGAGATTGAAAAATGGAGAAGAAGGAGGTGGCAGTGCGTGGGAATGAAAGGTACAGGTAATGTGGTGTGTTGTGTCTGACAAGGAAAACCACCTCCATTCTTCCCCTCACTTTTTCAATATCTTTTTTTTTTTCATTATCAAACATTAATAATCACCATTTTTTTCACTAACTATAATACAAAATATTTTTGTGTAAATTATCATTATAGTTTTAATCACAATTGTATATATCATAATTGCATTACATCATTTTAATTACAATCACTAAGTTTACAATATATATTATCTAGAAATTGAATTTAATAATAATTTATATACATTTTTTTAAATTTAATAAAGTATTTTTTTAAAGATAAAATTGATAATGATGAATCTTTATTATTAATTTTAAGAGTCAATAATATATTATTAATAAATATAAAAAAATTAAAAATAAATAGACAAAAAATGAAAATTATAAATATATAAAATAATTATTAAATTTAGAGATATCAAAATCATAAATTATATTATAAAATTATAAATATATATTAAATAATTATTAAATTTAAAAGTCAAAATCATAAAATTACAAAATTTCAAAGATTACGACCTTTACACAAAATTAATTTTGTAACAAATATAAAATCTAATCATTCTTATTTCAAATTTTTGGTTTTAAGAAAACATATAATTTAGATGACACAATGATTTGCGTCAAATTATTTCTATTCATTTTTCCACTAACTTTATCTCACCCTAAATAAATATCTAATTTAATAACTTTATTCTCCATATTTTCACCTTATAATATTATAAAGAGAATTTAAAAGAGATATAGAAAATATTTTTTTAACTTTTATTGAAGAGTTTTTAAATTAACGGCGTAATAATTATAATTTATTGTTAAATTTTATAAAATGATTTTATCATCAAATTGTAATGTGATTAAAAAAATTATACAATGAAGAACATCTAAAACCTGTCATGAGAGTTTGGTTATTTTTTTATTTAAAAATATGATATATGAAAAAAGTTGATTAAAAAAACTATATACTAAAAAAAGTAATAATATTTACTCAGATAATTTTATAAATATCAGACTCGTAGGAATTAACTTCTTCATCAACATTTATAGAAGAAAATATATATAATAAATCTTTCTATAAATTAAAGTAATCTATTTATAAGTTAAGTCTCTAAATTTTTATTTTTAAACTATATATAAGTTAATTAGTTTTAACGTGTGAGTAAACTAATTTTATTTTGTTCTCTTTTCATAGAAAAATAATATAAAAGCTTATATAGACATGTTAATTGTAATATTACGTAAAATAAATTGCAATGCAAAAACTTCTATGCATAAATCTGTATTTGACTTTGATTATATTTAGAAAAAGAATCTATAAACAATGTTTAATGATGTATTAAGTTTGGGTTATTTTATGGACCACTCGTTTGGTATTTGTGTTGTGGGCTTTAAAAGTCAATCCACAACAAAATTTATTAAATATGCTAATCTTTGATTTAAATGAAAAGGTAATTTATCCTTTTAATTCTTCTAAATATTACAATGCTACTTTCTATCTTTATAAATAAATATAATTATTGAAAAATATTTTTTTTAGTTGTGAATAGGAAACTACAAGACATTATTCTTAAACCCTAAAATCAATATTTTAGAAGAATTTAAAATTTCTTAGAGTAACAAAACAATGATATTTAATAATTTCTAACCATTTATTACTTTTAGTAGCAAATATATTATTTAGAAATAAAAAAAAGTGTCGTTGTTAATGATAAGGACATCGTTATTTATCTAATTTAACAAATATTATTTTTTCTTCATAGTGACGTCATCAGAATTAATTACCAATTAATAATGTCATTGTCAATTTAAAAAATGTTGACGTCATAAAAAAAGTGAGTTAAAACATAATACTTGCTTAGACAATTTTTCTTTCTGGGATTTTAAGAATACAAATTGGCATATTTGTAAAAATAAATATGAAGTAATAACTAAAATAACAAAATAATATATTTTAAAAAAATACACATACTAAACTTCAAGATATCTTTTGATACGAATATCATTTGTGTTAGTATTTCAAATAAATGGTGATAGAAAAAAAATAAAAATTATTTTATATAAAATTTAATATATTTATATTTATCAAAATTTTATTCAACTCTTATATTTTTAGAAAAAAAAGCAAACAAAAATAATCTAATATCATTCCATTCAGATGTTATTTGCAAAATTGAATATTATATATATATATATATATATATATATATATATTCACAAATTATAAGTATCTTTTAGTGTCTATAATTGTGATTTTATATTAATGTTAAATACCTAACATTTTCTCATTGTTTTTTTATTAACCCTTTATCATATTTATAAATATTTTAACGTCAACAACAACAAAAAAAACTAATATAAAAATATATTAAACTAAGATAAGTAACTTTCTTAAGTATGTAATTTAATATATTTACTAACTTAATTTCTTAGTATTGTATTTTTATTAAAATAATTATAATTTAATTTAATGTTTATGATGAATATATTGTTTGACTAAATTATGTAAAAAAAAAAGTGAAGGAATAAAAAAAAATTAGAAAGTGAAGAAGTTGGTTAAAAGGAGAGAGAGAAAATGGGAAATGATGAGGTGGTGACACCTGAGAAAGTGGAGGTCCCAAACCAAAGGAGGAACCAACACGGAACTCGAGGCAAGGACAAAGTCACGGTTATTGTCGGTTATGGCAGTTTGCCACGTAACACCCACGTGCTCCTCTTATTTCCTCTGGGCCCAGCCCAGGCCCACCAGCCCCACCGACAAATCTCTTTTCCTTTTCTTCACTCAAATTTCCCGTTACGTCTCTTCTCCCCACTGTTCCCTGTTTCCACTTTTCATTTTGCATGCACAGATATCTTTTAATTTTAAGTTAAAAAATTGATTGATTATGTCTAAATAATCAGAGATTAATTTAAATAACTAAATTTTAATTAAATTAAATAAAATAAAAAATAAAAATGATAAAATAAAAATTGACCGACCGTTTTGATAGAAAAAATTTAAAATTAAAATTTTTAATATAATTTTTTTATAAAAAATATCATATATTTTATTATATTTTTATCTTATTTTAATAATTATTTATTTTATATTTTTTAATATATTTTATATTTATAATTTTTATTATAATTTATAATAATATGAATACTTTATTTATTTTTAAAAATATTATTATTAATAAATTTATTATATATTTATATATTATAAAAATATTATATTATTAAATACATTTGAAAACAATATGATTTTAAAAACATTAAATCGAATAGAATGAGATGTGAGAGAAAATAATGTTGCAGTATAGTTTGACGAATTAGCATTGACTACGATACCAGGAAGGAATCATGCCGACACCCACTCTTGACCGAGCATCGGAAACATCCTACTCTTCGCAAATACGTGTCTCTCTGTTTCCTCCAAACTTTGTTCCGATGATCGTGGCCACCACACAACACAACACCCTAATCCATGCAACAAATTGAAACCACACCAATCACACAAACCTTCCTTAATATTCTTTGATTGCTACATCTTTTGTTCGAAAAGTTTATAAATAATTTGACTTTCATCACTTCAGGATTTGACACGTCTTCACTGATATTGTTACGTTTAGTTAACATAACATGCATGTTGCGGGTCTTTCAAATAATTTTGTGTGTTATTTATTTTTCTTATTTCTAAATTGTTTATTCAAAGTTTTGTATGAATGGTATATGTCGTCCCATCGTCTTCATCAACCTAATTTGTGTGTTAATTAAAAAAATAAACACACTTAAGCTGAATATCTGTTCTCAACTAAATAGGTAATTAATTTAAAAAATCTGTTAGTAACTAAAATGAAATTGATAAAGAAAATTGAATATGTTGCTCTTACACCAAAAGTTTATAAAAAATAAAGTAAATAATCATTTATATTTTAAAAAATAAAAAAATGTTGATTTGAGAATAAAATAGATTAAGACTTAATACTAAAGGATAAAGGCAAAGGGAATGAAGTAGGATGAGTTGAAGTGTGAATGGAGCAAGTCAAAATCCATGGCAAAAAAAATGTAAGAAGGCAAGTATACAACACAAGTACATCAAAATTGTTGGAGGCAAATTTGTGGTCATCACATTCCTTCTTTTTCCACAAGTTTTTCAGATGTCTTATCATTTATACTTACAAACTCTTTTAGATTAATTAGTTTTTTTTTTTTTGTAAATTCACTTCTCTTTATTTTATTTTTTTTTGCATTTTTTAATCTTCTTTGTAAATCTCTTTCATCCACACTCTTAAAAACTAAAGATTTCCAAAGAAACATTGATACTTTCTTTTTATTTCATCTTCTATCTTAGTGATACTTTTTTATTGTTTGTTACGTCATCTCTATCTAAACCTCTTCTATCTCTCCATCTTTATTCTTTTCATAGTTTTTTATGCCGTTGGGTTCAAATTTGAAGGTTTTAATTGTTAATAAATTATATGAAAGTATTTTTGTGTTTGGGCTAAAGCTTTGATATGATGGAGACATGGTTGGATGATGATCACACATTGTGGTAAAGATGCTTGAATGTCAACTTCAATTTAGTTGATAAAGAAAAGCAACACTTGTGTCAAGTCTACGGGTCAGCAATATGATCGATCAAAAGAGATCATATTTTCACATTGAAAAGATTTAGAATATAACATGAAAGTAAGATTTTTCAGAGAAAGTTAGTTGTGAATTTTGAAAAAGATAATTAGAAAGTTGATTGACCAACTTGAGAAAGTGGAAACCCTGAGAAAATTAATGTAGATTTGAGAAGAATGACAGGGAATAATCAGAACATTCAAGATGAAGACAAGCATTGTAACAAAAGATTAGAACAAAGACTTTTCCAGTAAAGGATGTAATATTTTAATAGGAGTACAGAAGACGTCTCTAATCTATCGCTAGTTCTTTTAATAATAAGTTTTGTAAAAGTTTGGAAATTGGGGTCAAAGATAACGTTTTCTTTTTGTGGAGGGGCGAATAAAAGTATATAATATATTTTTCGTAATTGACAGCTTCAGGCCCATTAAATTAATATGCAAAAGATATTTCCTAAACTTTGTTAGTCATCTCTAACTCTATGCAGTTCAAGATAGAAAAAAAAAATAAAAAATCATCCAGCATAGTTAGTAGTGTACTTGTTTGAACCACTCCAAGTTCCCTGTATTTAATCACTTTTTTCCCCCATCCACAGGTTCTTTAAACTCAACTTTAAGCTAACTCAAAGATTAGCCAACATATACAAGTTTGTATATTTGTACTAAGTGATTTTAAATTTCATTACTATCACTTCAAAATATCAAACTTTATACCTTTAACATTAAAAGCTTTACATACATATATTGATGAAAAATAAAATAAAATTATATAAGCGATACCTTGGAGTCATTTTTTTAATTAAAAACATAGTTACATTATTTTTATGTTTAAATGTCCTTTTCTTTTTCTTTTTCGATTTATCCATCCTCTAACATTAAAATATATATTAAACATTTAACTATAATAATTATGTAGTATATTAACATATTAATAAATAAAAAATAAACTTACATATGTTATAATTCTTTAAAAGGAGTTAATTTCAGATTCCCAAAACTATATAAAAGACGTTTGGATAGATAAACAAAAACCAACCCCTTTTTCAAATTACGAAAATTAAACAACATCAATTGTGTTTGAAAAAAAGAAGAAGCAATTTCATGCCAATTAAGAACTAAAAACATATTTAAGTATAAAAAAATTATTAGGTCTTAGACAAGCTAAATAAGTCATGTTAAAGTTTCTTTCATACATTTTTAAGATGCTTAAATGTTAGATTTAATTTACCTCATTTAAATAAATGAATATATATACATGCATGTGTAAGCTTTAAGTGCTACAATCAACTTGAATAGTTAACCCGTTCTCAGGATTTCTCTAACACATACAAATACATATTTATGAATTAGTATAATATGGTAACTATTAATTAGTTAATAATTCAAAGATTAGATTGCTGTATATAATGTTCTGTTAAAAGTTACATGATTTTCAGTGAATGTGAAGTTGATTAAAATCTAGAGCCATATATATTTAGACAGTCAATCTTTGTGCAAGGAGTTGAGATGTTCCCATACTCATTACCCAAAAAGAATCAAGAAATGATAATATTAAAAAAAAAAAAAAGACAACTAAAGCAGTTCCCGGAAAGAGACAATAATAGAAAGAAGTGACCCACCAAGAAGGCATAGTCTAAGAACCTTCTTCCTCTTCCTAGCGCTTAGCGAAGTAAAGTGGGATAAAGTTGCATCTAAAATAGATTCACCATCCAGAAAATAGACCTGATAATATCATCATTATAAGAGGAAATTCAATAGAAGCATAATAGAATATTCTAAGTAATACTTCAAAAGGCTTTCACATATAACACATTCCTTTCAATATTTGGTCATTCCATCAACGAAAGCAGCTTCTAAAGGAATAAACAGACCAAATCATTTCTTTAAAATTTTTCAAAAAATATTAATGCTAAAGCATCAGTATAATCCTAACTAGCATTTAAATCATTTTATTTAAATGTTAACTAGCAAAGCATAGAAAACTATGCAATATAGAGCGAGCTAACCAGACATAAATATCTTCCTTCATATTCTTAATTTTGATACTATAAACATATAACAGTCCAATTAATTTGGAAGTCGGTGAAGTATTGAGGGATTTTTATATATGTCTCTTAATGTTCGTAAGTAGGTTTTTGAACTTATTAATCAATTTTAATTGGGACCCTCACTAAGTTCCATCAGAATTCCTTCGAGTGCATGCACCTAATTGAATAACTATAAATAGTTTAGGGATAAGCAGCTAGTATAATTGTTCAATAAATCCCTGAACTATTTAAGAATTTTCGATTAGGTACTCTGCTTGATGAAAACATCACGATAGTAAAGAAAACAATTAAAAATGATGTAGATGTTCAAAGATACAATTATAGTCTTCTAAAGTATAGGGATCAATTTTAAAATTGTCAATTAATTCAGTGAATTTCTCATTAATTTAACCTAACTTGAAAAAAAAAAAAAAGTGAAGCGACTTTTCTTTTATCAGATCTATTAAGCAAGTCAAACTTTCTCCCCCAAATACTCCTTAAAATAGCATTGGAAATAACAAAGAACATAGTTTTAAAATTTTCAGTAACAAAATTTCGTTGAAGGACTGACTACCTTGTTCCTTAAGTAGAATCCAACGAACTTGTAACTAACCTACAAATCCCCATATCCATCACAATATGCAGAAGGGTAGATGCATTCTAATAATCCATTGAACACCAATTATACTCTAAAATATAATTAACCAACTCAAATAAGTCATAGCAACTACTCCAGTTTTCCATATATATATTTTAATTAGCCTCTCTTTTATCTTCATTGAACAGCTTATTGTCTGAGGTGAAGTTATCGACAGTCTTTAATAGTCAGCATTACACTAAGGCATCAAACAAATAGCTAATAACTATATTTATGGACAATATCTAATTGTATATGCTTGGTAATGCCTAACATAAGCAAGAAAATGTTCATCACTTACAGGCAAACCATTGAGAAGAGCCAGCGCTAGAGAGGTATGAAATGTCCATATTAAAATCCTTTCCAGTATATTTGGAAAATATGCAACAATTTGTGGTCCCCAACGAGGCTGATATGATGTTAGCTGAATTGAATGTGCCATAGAGATGACCTCACCAGCAAAAATAAAAGTCCCACCACAATTAGTTTCCTTAATACCGGAAGTTTCAGAAAATGGAAATCTGTTTTGTTCATGTGACAAACATTCGGGAGAAGGACTTGAATATGCAATCTCAACCCATACCAACCCAGGCTCCTGAACTGGAGCTAAACAAAATTCATCCTGTGAAAAATTTCAAGAGAGCATTCAGTAGCTAGTTATTTTACTTAAGTGTCTAAGTATAGGTGTGAGAAAGCAACAGAGTGGAAATATTGCCATAAACTAATAAGTTTAGAAACATTCAAATAATTCTCTACCTGAGGGCACGTAGAGCCACCTCCCTCTAATGTAGCTAGTCCTCTGTCATCACCACACCTATTGCGTTTGACAACATCTTTAGCATTTAAGCAGTACATACTCCATCCCTTGTTCAAAAGATTAGTTTCTTTCTGACCATCATGAAGTGTAACATTAGCAGAGTCTAACTTTACAAAGGCAGTACGTTCACCAGGGCAAACATGTTGTGTTCCCAGCAATTCGGTAATTTTGCTCTCTTCCATCATAAAACTAGGGATGCAGTAACCCTTCATTTTATTGACAATCTCCATGTCTCCAGAGCGCTGAGAAAGATTTACATTACTAAGCTTAACGTTATATGTCAACGTATTAAGCTTCAACCATTCTTGTGCATTTCTGATGGTTACATTATCTACCGACAGAATAACATCACCGGGAGCTAAATAACCAGACAAAGGTGACGCTGGGGGTACATCCAAAACCTGCTCCCATGTAGCCACCAATATGCAATGAGAAAGAGCATGATATACAAAACCCAAAGAAAACAATAAACCCAAAATGATTTAGCAAAAGTACCATGGGACTATGACCACTGCTGTAAAAGGGAAACAAGACCACGGGCAAGAAGAATAAAGCCAGTCCGCAAACTGCACAACACTAGAATATTGGAGAAGGTGTAGAAATAAAATTAGCAATCCAGATCATTTAAAAATCAAACTAAAAGCATATATACACCCAAAAATAAAAGGATAGAAACACGGGATCTAATGACTCAATGTTTATAAAATGTAACTAAAACCAATTAATAAACTTCACTAGAAGAATTTCTTACAAAAGTCAAATACTTACATTCAACTAGAATATCATCATATAGGACTACTTTGATGTGAATATACGGTCACTGATTCATCATATAGGACTTAGGATGCATCATATATCATCATACCAGGCTAGTCGGGCCAACTGATTCAACTGGGAGCCAGTCCTTTGATCAGTTCCAAGGTAGTTAAAATCGAGATTCTGGGTAGCATTGTGAGGGACTTAGGAGATTGTAAATCATGAAATCATAATAAAGGTTGAAGATCTTACTTTGCATAAATATGAAATATATATTTATGTAATAATACAAATAATATACTAAATCACATTTTAATTAATAATAATATAAATCTTTGAACAAGAGATAATAAATCACTATTAAACTCATGATATAATAAAATAAAGTACAATTTCTTATTTAAAGAATGTATATATTTAATATCTCATTATACTTTTTATTTTTTAAAATTAAAACATGAGATAATAGATGTTAGTCAAACCTCACACTATTAGGCACACTCTCAAAGACAAGCTCGAATGAAACAAGAAAGGTTTTCCCCCACAGCATCCTCTCTTAACAACAGAAGGAACCAGCCCATTCTTGTTGCTTTGAACACTCTTTTCTTTGCTTTATGCTGTGCCCCCAATGTACCTGCGGACCCTCCCTTTCTCTTTCCCTTCCACATCCTTCTCTTTTTCCTCATATTCTAAGCATGTGCCCCCAATGGGAATGACTCTGAGTGTTGGGGGCTTTAGCTTAGGGTATTTTATGAGTCTTATCGCACACTATTGGAAGTTGTTCGAGCATAGAGACGACTCCAGTGCATAAAAAGAAAACTCCTATGGTTTTGTGACATTGAAAGGTTTAACACTGACGATTTCTCTATGACCGCTATCCTGGCCAACCAGGTCTTCGAGCACAGATTACATACATTGATTCAATGATTTCATTACCTTCTTCATCGATCCCATTGATACTGTAGTGTACGATTTTGCGTAGGCATTGAATCAAGCTACTGTGCAAAATCGTGGAATTCCATGACTTTAAGTGCAATTTTGACTACACTGGTTTAGTTTAGTCTAGTTACTATAATCAGTATTTAAAAACTGGTCATTGAACCGTCAAACCAGGCCACACCATCGGAACCAAGCACAGCCAGTCATGGTTGGATTGGAGACCAGTTCAATTTTATTTCATTGAAAATACCACTATTGAACCCAAGCCTCTGTACATGGTGTTAGTTGATATATTGCTTCACAGCTTATATGCAGTTTTTGTTCTATAATGTACATCCTAAACATATTTGATTGTTCTAGTATGCTCATGAAGTCCCACATTGCTTAAGAGTTGAGGTGAAGAGTAGTTTAAATACACCTTCCTCTCTCTCAACCCACCGAAATGCCTTTTAAGGACAAATCCGTGACAGACGAAAGCTCCGAAGCGCACAATACTTTGGACATGAGAATTGACCGTAACAATATTATCAGAGCGCACATGACGTTGAGACACTCTCGTTCCTTAAACGGAACATTGATCAATATAATCTTTTTAATTACCAGTTAAATTCGTATTTATATTATTATTATTATTATTATTACTATTATTATTTATCTTGCAGAACAGTATGGTATTTTGATGCTAATATACAAATTCATCTAAATATTTTATAAAGATTTTATGTCAGTTTATTATGTACTTGATCACACAAAATAAAAAAAAAAAAAAAATATTGTACATAATTCACTTATTTGGTTCAATTCAATGTTAGCTGGGTCAGCAGGGCTTGAATCAGTTAGTAACGGAAACTAGTCTATAAATTAGCAGATTAGAGACATAACTCAAGGGGAAGAGGGTACACCTAAGAGCAGGAAGAATCAGGAGTGGTGTTGCTTAAGAGTGAAATTGGAAGGGAGAGGCGAGGTCTCTCAAACACCAGAGGAGTCTGTTTGGAATCTTGAAAAAAAATCTCAGAAATAGGTACTGAACAGATTATATGAAAATGAACAGAGATACGAGAAAATAGGTAGAGACTCTCAAAATTGAGTTCTGTTATTGACTATTCAGAGTTAAGCATGTTTAAAGCCAATCTTACATTTAAAAGCTTAACTGGTGGCAGCTTGCAATAATCAAAATCCTAGATACCGGAGGATAGTGGCCAACTCCAAAAACACTGTGGCAGGTTGATGGATATTTTGCAATTGATCCATAGCCTTGAAAAGATTTTTTGATGATCTCAATATCACTTTTTATTATTTGTAACCATAAAAAATGGCCATAGGGGCCAACAAGCAAGGCTCAGCTCTCTGAAAAGCTTAAACAACTAGGCATAGTGCAGAACCTAAGAATTGAGTCATACCCTTGAAAACATCAAATTATATGGCTAAGCAGCTGCCATGGTCTAAAGTTTGGTGAAATAGGAGAGATTAGTTTATCTAAACCAATCAAGAAACATTATGTAACATATTGCTTTCCCTTCTTTAACAAGTATACATTAATGTCAATTTTTTCTTAAACTGTAGAGCACATAAAAAAATGGTTATCGAGTAGCTAAAGTGTCTATCCTTGATACTAGTATCAATGGATCCTATTCTATTCAACTTACAACTGCATTGTGCCAAATGCCAGCAGAATACACCCGGAGGGCAGTCAAATGAGGCAAAGTCTGCAACAATTCATAATTGAAGGCAACCAGAGCACCAGGAAACAGAATTGCAATGAAGATGGCAATGTACTCTATTTGAATTCCCTCACTGCTTTTCATTGAAAAAGGTTAAATCATGAGAATCTAGCCTTCATCGTTTCAAGCAAAAACTAAATTTGGGGTTCTTCAATTCCTGGTATTTCATGGTCAAATAGTAAATAAAAGAATAACAAAACTTTACAGCTGAAATGATCATTGGAGATACACCCTCATTTATTTAAACATGTTGACTAGTGGAACTGATGCTGAAATATGTTCAACAGCAATAAGGAGCACCCAAAATCTATTCATAAACCACATCTAAAGCATATATTAAATAAATTGTTCTTCAAGGACATTATCCCTTGTAGAGTGTAAAGGGGATCTACTTGTATAGATATTAAAAAGGGGCATATACTTGGATAAGGGCTCATTTGGTATCAAGGATAAAATATAAGAGTAAGAACATAAAAAGCTTGTATACAATCCCAATTTTGACATGCACCAAATATGTAAAGTAGTAAATGTTATCCTATCATATGTTTACAGTGGAAAAAAAAATTAAGATATGATATGTGTAAATGATAATTGTGTCCTTTTATTAGAATTACATAATCATTTTCTAAAATTAATCTCATATATATATAAACTTTTTTTTATACTTTATTCCTTTTTAAATTAGTATAATTATATATATATATAAAAAAAAAACACTGCTTAATCCAGCAAATAGAAGTAAACAATGCCTATTTGAATGTTTCACAAGACAGAGATCTACCAGACGCAACCACCAGGATAAGAAGTCTCTCACAATCAGATAGTCTGAAGCCTGCCAAAGGCCACTTGTGAGCTTAAACAGGCCCCAAGGGTCTTATATGACAGATTTACTGATACTCTGCTAGACAAAGGATTTCTTTGCAGCAGATGTGGTCCTTCATTACTTCTCTTAAGAGGCTCCCCACTGCATCTATCTTCTCATATACATAACCATCAGATAAAATTATCCATTTTTTGTTCAGTTCCTAATCACTAAGGGGAATGCTGTTTTTTTCCTAAAATAACTAGGATATGTGGATTATTTTCTTGGAATTGAGCTTAAAAATATTTAAAATCTATATAATGAAAAAGTGATGTTTTCTCAAGCAAAAATGAGATTTGCTTCATAAAGCTGATCTGGCAGAATCCAAAGATATTTCTACTCCTATGTCTGGTGGCTGCAAGCTCACTAAATATGGAGGAGACTACATGTTTGATACGCTGTCTGTAGTTGATGTTTTATATAGTGTAAACAAAGTTTGTCAATTCATGGCTCAGTCCCCCTCAATCCACACTGGATGATTGTTAAGCATATTCTAAGATATGTAAAAGGTTTACTTCAACTTGGAAGCTCCTGCAGCCTAGTTCTGCTCAATCTCATCTCTCCTTGACTGTCTATAGTGAAGCAGAGTGGGTCTCTGATCCAGATATTGCTTCTGAACAGATACAAGAAAACAAAACAGAGTCTCTAGCCAAGTTCAGGTTGCAACATCTGAGACAAACCCAGGGTGCTTTCTTCTATACCATCCTGAGTGGGGAAGGGAGAAGTGGGACAATAGATGTATAGTACAACTTCAGCTTCTGAAACATTAAGTAGTGCCGACCTTTAGTTAACAGTTAGCAATTGATTAGTTTTAGACCGCTCTTAATACTCTGTTTTTTACAATAACTATCCTTGTAACATATTGAGCACCTTGTTGAGCAAGTCATTCTATTCTATAAATAGAGACCTTAGTACTCATCTAAGAAAAGAATGAAAGATCCAAATTATTGCTGAAACTCTTTCAATGTTTCTCTCTAGTTCTCTCTTCTCTACTTTTCTTTCACTTTCTACAACTTTCTCAGAAGCCAGAACTGTTGACTACTATTATCCTGAAATATTTATAACAGAGAAGCGTCCACAGAACTTTCTTCCAGATTCACTAGACTATGCTCCGTACTAGAATTGAGCTTAAGACTCCTTTAGAATCTTATCCTGCAAATCATATTTCAGTTCTTCACTCATTCCCCTATCAGGGAAAACATTATTTTTTCTAATCCCCTAAGGAAGTCCACCACCCCTCTAACACAGCATTTCTTTGGAGCACTCCTGCATAACAGAATTAATATCGTAACTGTTGAAGATTCCCACTTCAAAGATGATAGTGACACAGATACAGAACTATTTGTCCAGAATGCTTCTGTTGTGTTCCTCTGATTCATAAACTAGCACTCTAGCAGCAACTCTGTGATGCAAATTTGCTGTTTTTGGCAAAAACTAATTTAGCCCACAGAAATTGAAGCAATTTCTTAATGCCAATTTATAGGTTTTCAGAGAGGAGTGAAACTATAGTTCTTTGGCGGTGTGCAGTGTATCCAGTATTTATGTTTTGACAGGGGAGGGACTAACATACATGTGGTGATTTGGTTACTTATGATTAAAGATGAACTCGCTTATGATGATAATTTCTGTTACACTTTTAATGACAAACATATTTTTCATTAAACTTCTTTTGTGTTAGTTAACAGCTATTTTAGAGGGATTTATTAGTCACATAGGCAATGAATTTGGCATTCATTGAAAACTTATTGTGTTTCTTTCCAATTATTTTGGTTTTACCATGCTTTAAATTTTTACTTCTTTATCTCTAGAGTGTATTAAACTCTTTTCTTATCATAAAACCCAAACTTCATCAAATTCAAATTAGTTCATCACTTCATACAAGAATGCACTAAGTAATTTAGAAATTAGTAAATAAAGGTAGTCTGACAATGATCATAGCAATTATCAGGTTTTATTGTTAAGAAATAGTTGAGTAATTATGACAGCCGTGTAGGTTATGTTAGTAGCATATTGAGGTGCACCCAAAGTAATAGTATCATAACAGGGATTTGGTAGTACTAGAGTATTTGTACAAATAGGAAAAATGTTAACAACATGAGTGTAAGACAACTATTGAGAGACTTAAATTCCATTTGTAAACATAAACTCTATCAAAACTATGTTAAGTTCAATGATTAGTTATTAGTTCAATAAATGCTGCAATTAAAATGCAGAAAATAGTTGATGTTCTCACTTTGTTCATCTCAATCATGGATTTTCTTCAGCTTTTATGAAGTTGCGGGAAAGGAATGCTTTTGATCAGGAGTTCAATACAAGACATGTCAACTTAGTATTTAAACCCCTCAACTAAGATAATTAACCACGAAGATGTTTCTTATACTTCAGGAGGAACCAATAGATGAGGGCAAACCAAAGGTTTATCAAACACAGTAAGACAACAATATTTGATAATATCTCTCAGTTTTAAGCAGAGAGGCAAAAATTATTAAGACAACTGACCTTGTGGCAGCAACTGCATGACCAAATTCATGCACGAAGATGGATATGACGGTAGAAACACATAGGTATCCAACATCAGCAAGTGATAAACTTAAACCAGGCACCTGCATAAGAGGCAGTTCTTGAGTGCATGATAGAAAAAGATTATTCACATTTTCCATGGGGTCATTTTAGTGTTGCCATAAATTTTACTTGTATTTATTATTCCTTTCAAAAGAACAAATAACAAACTGATTTAAAATTGAAAGGAAGGAGCAATAAAGTTGCCAACCAAAGGAGGTAAGCCAAACAGCAAGGTACTGGCAAAGCTTCCAAGCTTATTGCTGCCACCACGGAGAAGCAATGTTCTGGCTAGTTCCCAAAGGAGAACCTGGACGTGTTATACAAGTTAATTGAAATCCAAAATACAAAATATTCTGAGCAAATAGCCACAAAAATCCCTCAAAGATGACCTGTTTGGATAAATGTTGCTACGAGCACTTCTAAAAGAAGAAAATAAGACATAAAAAATGAAATAAACTTCTCTAAAAGTACAAGGTAAAAATCATGTATTTCATTTGTTCTCCTCATTTATTTCTCAAACAAGTGTCTATGACAAAAAATTCCAGATAGACACATACCGCTGGTCATACTAGTGATTCAATGATGAAAATTGCACTTACAAACCCTGAGTATTCATTTCTCAAGTAAAATTAGTCCTCGCGTCCCAAATCTCAGCAACAAATTTGACATATGGAATACACATTCAAGGATTAATTATTTGACGCCTAGCTGATTTCCAAACTTCAAGAACTAATACGAGACGCTGTATTGCACCTCGCAGAAACTAATTTGACTATCGACTCAAGCACTTAATATGAAAAAATAAATTCAGAGACACCAATATCTCACCAAAGTAACTCCAAGTAACGCAGAGAGGGCAAACCCAACCCCAATTGAAAACCATACTCTGAAAAACCTGTAAGTTACACACACCACGCAAAGCAAGTGTAAGAAACAAGGAATAAAGTGCAGAACGGTGCGTGCAAAGAAGCAGCGAGTGGGACCTCGAGTATCGGCGACCAACGTGGAAAAGAGGTCTGTTAAATGAGGAGATCTTGTAGTCGCAATACCTGCACTTAGACATACCCAAATTAGGTTTTACTCAAGCAGAGAAGGAGGAAATTGAAGCAATAAAAGAAGATGATGATTTACCAGCAGGAAACTGTGTTGGAAACATTGGACGAGGAAGAGGAAGAAACATGAAGCGGGAGAAGAGTACGGTGTGAGGGCCTTTGAGGCATAGACCTCCTAATTCGCGGAGCTTCCACTTCCATCACTCAACTTCAATGGCGTCACTATTCAATTCCATGACACCTAAACAAAGGAACAGGAATGTGAAAAGATTCACACAAATATCCACTTTAATATTTATATCAATTTTTATTTATCTTCAACAATAAATGAACATTTATACATAATATATCAATTTATAATATATGGATAATTTGATAATATCATGAAAATATTAAAATGTCTAATAATAATAATAATAATTAATTTCGCTGTCAAATATAACCATTGCACTCAGTTAATTTTGTTTTGAAACAACACAAGAGAAGATGAATGTGATTTTATGAAAGTGGCTTATGAATTTTCAAATGTCAAATAATTATTAACCACTTGTAAAATTTTCAATTTTTTTAGATAATTTGCATGTATCTTATATTAAAATTATAAGATACATACAAATTATCTACAAAAATCATTTTAAAAAATTTGTTTTTATAATAATATAAAAATGCATTTTCAAAAATAAATTAAATTATTTATTATACAAATACTTAAGAATTAATTAAAAGGAAAAAATATAGTTATATATATATATATATTTATAATTATATGCATGAAAGCATTTAACCAATAAAAATGTAAACTCAACTCAATTGATAAGGTAAACAAATTATATGAAAATTTCTTAAAGAATAAAATTACTCAAAAAAACTCCACTCTAATCTAATTTTTAAAGTTTTTAATTATTTTTTTAATATTTTTATTTCAAGTATTTGTTTTCTTATTTTTTGTTCAACATATCAAAATATAATTTTTTAAGTAATAAGTTTAAATTTAATTACATATAACAAATTAAAATTTAATTATTTTAAAACTTTTTAAAATTTAAAATATTAAAAAATTAGAGATAAATTAATATTTTTTTATTAAATATCCGGCTTAAAGTAAATACTATGTATAGACATAATATATATATATATATATATATATATATATATATATATATATATATATATATAAAGAAGGTATTGTCTCTTACCATAAAAATATAAGTTTTACTATGTTTAAATAATATATTTATTAATTTGTTATCTGCTTTTATTTATATAAAATTAAATATATTATAATTATAATAAATATATAATATTTGTAATACCTTTGTTAACTAACGTATAATTACTATAAAACTAGTATATATAATAAAACAGAGTGCATATAAAAAATATTTTTATATTAAATTAAAATAAATTATTTTTGAAATATATTTTAAATTTTTGTATGGTTGTAAAAGATGATAATGAGTGGTTAATTTTATAATTTAATTTTCCGAATTATGATTGAAGTATTATTCAATGTATATATTTCTTATTTTACATGAATAAATTAGTCATAGTTTGTAATAAGTTGAAGTTAGAATTTAAAAATAATTACTTGGATTAGTAAAAGAAAAAGGTTGTAAATAATATAGGGCATGGCAGCATGAGAGCACAATTGAATGACCGAATCAATCATCGACGTCATCGATCACATCAAGACGCATGATTTTGGTTCTGTTCTGCTCCAAAACTAAATCCCAATAAGGAAGAAAAGAATCCCTCGCTTGGATCTTGCAACACCGCGAGAGGGATCCATGATACTCCTGCAGTCTCATTCAAGATTTCTGCTCCAGACCTTGTTGAATCGGGCCCAAAAGTATGTTCTTTCTTCGCCTATATTTCCTGGATTAAACATGTTCTTTTTATTTCCTATAGCCACAGATCATTATAGAGTCTGATACATATAGGTTAAGGGTTAAAGAGTGGGACGGTGAATATATAAACATATAGGGCTTCCTTATTGGCAAGCACTTCATGTTCACGGAATCTCAGTTATAAGTGATTGCGGGTTTTGTGTTTGTTAGATGTAAAAGCATTCGTTCAGTGTTTAAGCTTTGTGAAAAAGAAAAAAAGGGGCACTTGTCAGAGTCTAATCCGTGCTTGATGTTGTTTAAAGTTGAATAATTTCACTACAAGGAAGGTTGAGTGGGTCATGTCCTCTGTGAGTGGGCGTGTTAGATATATGACTCATTATATTCTTGAATTTTGACCCTTCACCTGATGGTTTATACTTTCCCGAGAGTTGAAATTTGATATCTTTGAATTGCTGATGCCTATTACCGTAAATGCAGTCCTTTCTTATGAAAAATTGGCTATTTGGGTTGAGGATTTTCAGGAAATACTATTTGTATTATCCTATAATTACGGTTTTGTTGGAGAACTATTAGGCGTAAGATTGAAGGTAACTCAATCTATTTTGTTGGAATGTTGGCCTACAGAATGGAATGTGTCTTGTGTTGATGGAATTTTAGTTTATGCTACTCAGGGATATTCTTTTACTTAGTCCAATTTTTGTTTAGTTTGCTATGTTTTTTGAAGTCTGGAAAGATTCTGCCGCGTCTTGTTCCTCTTTGACTTGAAAATATGTGGTAGCAACTTCACTCTTTAGCTAACCCAGTTAAAATAATAAGGGTGATTGTTGGGTGATGAGATGGGAACGTTTGGATTGTCTAGCGAGTGAGGACAATGTAGTAAATAAGAAGCTGACTAAGTGAGCTCTTTTCCCAATGGTTTTGAAGAGATTCTATATATGAGATAGTTTAATTAAAGAACATATTGTAGGTTAAGGAGGGTCGGAAGGGTAATGCTAATTCTGGCTTCTTTTATAGGTTTGTTATTGGAAGAAGAACGGGAAGCTTCATAATGAGCTGGAGTTAGATAATAGGAGAGTTGTGTGAGAAGTGGCATCTACCTAAACTCTTCCTACAACTGTTAAAAGGATCAATGACAAAACAAGTCATGGAGGATGGTACCATTTAGAGAAGAAAGAAATTAAGAAGAAATATAATGAATTTTGTGTGTCCTGGACACATAAATATTCTAATTTGCAATAAAAAAGAGATACAATAAAAAAGAACGAAATCAATATCTAATAACGAAAAATATTTGGTGAGATATTTCCTTATCAAATCATATAATATTTCCCTATTTAATGTAATAAAATCTTATCTCTGATATAATCAAATGGTATCTCTAACACTCCCCCTCAAGTTGGAGTATTGTATCGTGAAACAAGCTTACAAATGTCATTAACATAAGACCCCTTGAGAGAATTATGTCAATGAGTTCATTCTTAGAGTCAATAGTAAATAATGACAAATGATAGCTTTAACACTTCCCCAAGTCGGTGAATACATATCATGTGAGTCAAGCTTGTTACAAATGTTGGAGGGCATGCTTGAAAAAACATTGGAGGTGAACAATACTTGTTAGATAAACGTAAGTGGTGAACAATGCTTATAAAATATGTTGACATTTGTGACAAGCTTGTCTCATATGATACATATGCTCTAGCTTGAGAGAGAATGTTAGAGATATGGTATGATTATGTTAGAAATATGATTTAATTACATTAAATAAGGAGATATAATATGATTTGAAAGGGAAATATGTCACCAAATATTTTCCATTTTAGATATTGATTTTGTACCTTATTATTGTATCTCTTCTTTATAACAAATAAGAATATTTATGTGTATATCTGAATCACAAAATTTGAATTATTCCTTATTGTTTTTTTTTTCTCATCATAGTACTAAAATGGTACCATCCGCGCTGACCTATTTTGTCACTAATCCTTTTAACACGGTATTTAAAGCTTCTTGAAAATTGTATTTGCTTGGTGGACCCATGATCCTGGAGGAGAAATTTTGTTGGGGACCCATTGTGTCCAGGTTGGCATATTGTTGCTGATTGTGGCCTTGTTTTTTCAGTGATCACATTGCTTCATGTTGATATACCCAATTGTACAAAGCACATGTCCTTCTAATGTCTTTAGCAACTTCCTGATAAACTCAATTTTCTCCAACGACCACATGAGTGTGTTCGTGTCTTGCCAATATGTAATGAAGCATGTCTCCTTTTGTTGTGTCTAACAACATTTCAATGAGCTCAATTTTCTTCGACAACCATACGATTGGGTTCACAACAGGCCAACCTATCCACCCATCCAAAGAATGACTTGCAATACCCACCCATGTGCCCTCAAGCTCTGGTTTGCTAACGCTAGTTTGCAACTCTTCCTGGCACATGCAACATACCTAAGGTCCAACCACCTCTCGTCCAGGTTGCTTCCTTCATATGTGTTAGAATAAATATTAAATACAGGTTGAGTGTTAGTATGGTTATTAAAAGGTTGCTTTATAAAGCTGATTTCATGTTGTACTTATCATTGTACCAAGGTTTCTAGTTCAGGCTTTAAACCTTTGATCTTCCCTGTACTCATTGTATGAGTATTCTACCATTATAAATAAGAGATCTCAAAGGGGAGTGATTAAGTCCTCCAAAATATATTTTTTCTCTTTTATTTAACTTTAAGTATATGATCCTACCTTATAGTGACGATACCATCAAAGTTGATTTGGTGGTTCTTTTTTATTTTCTGTCATTCTTGATTATTTTAATATTTTTTTAGATATGGGTAATGTCTTCTAGCACCAACCACGCATCCAAAATAGATTCCCCATCTTTTTGAATCATATTATTAATATTGAGAAGATGGACGAATCTAATTATTCTACTTGGGCCTTTGAAATCAGTTTATGGTTTAGTGGGTTGGGCTACAAATCCTATCTCACTAGCATTGCAAAATATGTACCAACAAAGAGAGGAATGAGACCAATAGATAAAGATTGATGCTCAATTGTGTAGGGTTCTCAAGTTCACTATTCATCTTACTCAAACTTATTTTTCGTTCTCATGTGACATGTGCATCAATTTGGAGAGAGGTCCATGCTTTCTGTACTAATGTACAAGGTTTGTGAAGGCCTCCTAACATTACTTGCTCCATGATGCTTTGATGGTCTTATGTCTACATATATTGGACGAATTAATGCTCCATTACATGATTCTAATGAGCTCTTACCACCATCTACAAATGTAAAGAAGGTAGTTGAGAAATGTAGTACAATTTCTATGACGTTAGCTTTGTATGACTTTCCCCAAAAGTATGCTGTCACACGTGATTAGATTCTGGGATTGCAAATGATTTCATTTATGACTTTTTCTTTATCTACAGTCCTATGTATTACTCCAAAAATTAACTTGGAGATACATAACCCTTCCAATGGAGACACTTTTGCTCTTGCCTCACAAAGCAATAGTTCTTTGAGTTTTTGCATAAGTAAATCGAAAAATCACTTTAAATGTGATCATAGTCACTAGAATGACCATACCATTAATAGGTGTTAGAAGCTACATGGGAACCCTCCTCGTTTGAACAATATTGGTCAAGTATCTATTATGGAATCATTTGTTGCTCATACATTGCCAGTTGACCTACCTCATATGACCCCAACTACATATGAGGAGTTTCTCCAATGGTGTGAGAGTCATCAACATGCTAGTAATACTGCTTTGGTGACTCACATTGGCAAATTATTTGCTTGTCCCTCTCAATCTTCTTCCCTAGGAACTTGGGTTATTGACTTTGATGTAACTGATCATATCTCTGGTAATTGTTCACATTCCTATTCTCTTACTAGTACTAATAATTAGCCCTGTATCACTGTTACTAATAGTTCGCAAACTCAAGCTAGAGTTTATGTATCATATGAGACAAGCTTATTACAAATGTTATTGACACAAGACCCTTGAGAGAATCATGTTAGCGAGTTGGTTGTTGGAGTTGATAAAGTAAATAATGACAAATGTTAACTTTGTCAACAATGATACAACTTCTACCCATTCCTTTTATTTCCTTTCCCTAATCTAACTAGCTGATGCAATGTATTCTGATTCCCATTTCCCTTTGGGTTTTGATCCTCTACTACTCTCTTATCTATTCTAATGTACAACTTATTGTTCAACTTTAAAGCATTAATCTTGAGATGGAGATATTGAAGAACAACATGAATTAGGTGGACTCAAAGAAGGTAAATGCAGCACATGCAAAGTATGGTATGAGATTTGGAGAGAAGCAACGTTACCCTTTAATGGAAATGAGAGTGGCCAATGTATATACATATGTGTGTGTGTATATATATTCATATATACACTCAAAGGTTTTAGGATCTAGTTTAGAAGTTTGAGGGTGAACACCCTTAACAAAACGAGTGCAAATGTGAAATTTAATACATAAGTAAGGAAAATTTGTGGATGAGAGGGAAACAAAACCTAGAAAGATCTTTTTTTTTTTTTTTTTTTCTAAAAAATATAGTGCATATGATTAATTAAATGAGACAGCAAAGAAATGTCATCATTCTGAAACTTCTACAGAAATTTCATTTGGCACAAGAGTGCTTTGCAGATTTTAAGTTGTATCTATTTTTCCTTTTGATGAAGGCTATGGTGGGAGATTATAACATGTTTCCCTCCATTAATGTTGTTTACCCGTCAAGTTATCTCATTTAATGATCAGTGGTTGTGATAATTTCGTTTATTGTTTTCTTTTCGCCTTTTCTTGCCATCATTCCCATTATACTCTTTTCTTTTTTCCTTTTTCTCTTGCTTCCCCTCTTCATCTTTTCTTCTAAAATCCCATTTGATGCTTGGCATTTCATTCTGCATAGCTTGATAAGTAGCATAATGTCACGCCTTTGTTTCTCGAACTTGGTTGCGTGCGGCCTTAGCCTCTCGTGCGCCCTTCGCAACTAGCTAAGTCAGCCTCACCTCACTCGGGATCGTGCTCGGTGTGTGCAAGTGCTTTGGCTAAAGAAAGCGAGAAAAGAAAACTTGAAGGGAAAATGCTTCTATTACTCAAACTCTAGTACAAGTGAACTCTCAAAGCTTGGATGATTTGCAAATGAGGGGGCCTCCTCTATTTATAGGCACCACCTCCTCTAAGGATTTCTCTAGATCCTTCAAGGGTCTTGGTCTTTCTAGACCCTTCCACACAAATCCTACTCTTTCTACACATGTCCTAGAACCTTCTACACAACTCAAGATGATTCTTGCCCTTTCTACAAGTCTCTACAAGGTTCTAGGATGTTCTTGTCCCTACTACAAATATCTACATAATTCTGGAGCCTTCTAGAAGCTTCCAGTCAAAACTAGGCCTTTCTAGAGGCTTCTATCTACAAGTAACTAGGCTTGGTGGTGAAAGAAAAGGCGGGCAAGACTCGTTCTTGCTCGTGTGCGTGCGGGGAGTGATACGGGGCGTTACATTCTCCCCCACCTATTGTGGCGGCGTCCCTGTCGCCTCATAATCTTCGAGGATATCTCGGAATTGCCATAAGTCTTCCTCGAATTCCCATGATGCTTCGGATGCTGGGAGTCCCTTCCACTTTATTAAGTACCGTTTCTTTGGCGGTACCCCTCGTCTCCTTACAATGTCTGATGTGAGCACCTCATCCACTTCCTTGTCGAAAGACTTGGTTGTAAGGGGCGGTACTCTCTGTGATTGCCCTCGGCTTGGGTCTTCCGCATCCTTCTTGTAAGGCTTTAACATGCTCACGTGGAAGACTGGATGGATTTTGAGTGTTGGTGGGAGATTGACCCAGTAAGCAACATTCCCTATCTTTTTGATCACCGGGAACGGTCCCTCATATCTTCGTACTAGTCCCTTGTGCAAACTCCGAAAGGTCTTGAATTGTTGCGGTAATATCTTCACAAAGACTAGGTCGCCTTGGGAGAACTCTCGCAGATGCCTCTTTATATCGGTCCATTTCTTCATTCTTTTACGGGCCCTCTCCAAGTATGAGCGTGCTAAGTCTGCCTGTTCCTCCCAAGTTTTGATCATCTTTTTTGTCCCGGGACTCTTCCCATCCTTTGTAGGTATGACAATTGTGTGAGGAGTCAATGGGTGTCGTCCCGTGACCACCTCAAATGGGTTTCGCTCAGTTGATTCACTCCTCTGCAAATTATAGGAAAATTGGGCCACATCAAGCAGCTTGGCCCAGTCCCTCTGGTTAGCGCTTACAAAGTGCCGTAGATAGCATTCTAGTAGCGCGTTTACCCTCTCCGTTTGCCCGTCGGTCTGGGGGTGGAAGCTTGTTGAGAAGTTAAGCTCGGTACCTAGGAGCTTGAAAAGTTCCATCCAAAGTCGCCCCGTGAAACGCGGATCCCTATCACTCACAATGCTCCTTGGTAATCCCCAGTGCTTGACCACATTCTTGAAAAATCCACGGGCAGCTTCCTCGGTGGTACAATCCTTGGTGCATGGGATAAAGGTCCCGTATTTTGAAAATCGATCCACCACGACCATTATTGACCCGTATCCCTCGGACTGTGGTAGGGCGCTAATGAAATCCAGCGTGATTGACTCCCATGGTCCTGCAGGTATCGGTAATGGCTCGAGTAGTCCTGCTGGATGCTTGTTTTCAACCTTGTCTTGTTGGCACACGAGACAGGTCCTCACATATGCTTCCACATCGTCCTTCAGTTGAGGCCAGAAGTAGTTGGACTCGAGTAAGGCTATCGTCCTTCGTTGTCCTGGGTATCATGACACTCCTTCATGAAATCCCGTCGTAGTCCGTCCCACTTTGGCACAACCAGACGTCGCCCTTTTGCGTAGAGCAGACCGTCCTCTACCTAAAATCGTTGGGTCTTGCCTTCCTTTGCGAGCCCCATGAGTGCCTTCGTGACGAGGTCCCGTTCGAGCCCTTCTCGAATACGGGTAAGGACATCCCCGTCGGCTTTGCTGATGGCGGCAAGTTCAGCCTTGCGGCTTAGAGCATCGGCCACCACGTTAGCCTTCCCCCGCTTGTATTCCAATGAGTAGTCAAACTCGGCCAAAAAGTCTTGCCATCTGGCTTGCTTTGGGGAGAGTTTCTTCTGGGTCTGGAAGTAGCTAGTGGCCACATTGTCTGTCTTTATGCTGAAGTGCGCGCCTAGCAAGTAGTGGCGCCACACCCTCAAGCAATGGATGATGGCCGTCATCTCCTTTTCTTGCACCGTATAGCGTCGCTCGGTGTCATTCAACTTTCGACTTTCGAACGCTATCGGGTGCCTCCCTTGCATTAATACTCCCCCAATAGCAAAGTCAGAGGCGTTAGTGTGAACCTCAAGTGGCTTAGTGAAGTCAGGTAATGTTAAGACAGGCTCCTGACTTACAGCGGCCTTGAGATCCTCAAATGCTCTTTGACACTCGTTGGTCCATTCCAACGGCTTCCCCTTTTTGAACAGGTCGGTAAGCGGTGCGGCCCTTGCCGAGTACCCTTGTATGAACCGCCGATAATAGTTGACCAATCCTAAGAAGGATCGTAACTCGGTAACTTTGGTGGGAGCTTCCCATTCCACGATTGCCTTGACCTTTGTCCCGTCCATCTCGATCCTTCCATGGCCTATAACATGCCCCAAGAAGTTCACCTCTTCTTGGGCAAAGATGCACTTGGACTCCTTTACAAAAAGCTCATTCTCTCGAAGTACCTTGAATACGGTACGTAAGTGGTCAGCGTACTCCTCGAGCGAGTTGCTATATATAACAATGTCATCCAGATAGACCACCACGAACTTATCCAAGTACGGATGTAATATCTCATTCATGAGTATACAGAAAGTAGCTGGGGCATTTGTGAGCCCGAAAGGCATCACTAACCATTCGTATGACCCATACCGCGTAATGCACGTGGTCTTGGGTTCGTCTCCCTCGGCGATGCGAACTTGGTAGTTACCCTTCTGTAAATCCATCTTGGTGTACACTCGGGCTCCCCCAAGTCGATCAAATAAGTCAACAATCAAAGGGATGTGGTAGCGATTCTTGATAGTTACCTTGTTGAGTGCCTGGTAATCTACGCACATGCGTAGTGTTCCATCATGCTTCTTTTGGAAGAGTACGGGTGCGCCATAGGGGGCCTTGCTCGGGAGGATTTTTCCGGTCTCTGTGAGCTCCTTGAGCTGCCTCCTCAATTCCTCGAGCTCAGGGGGAGACATTCGGTAGGGGGACATGGCTGGTGGCTTGGTGCCTGACTCCAACTCAATCTTGTGATCCACACCTCGCCTTGGTGGAAGCTTGCTTGGCAACTCGGCAGGCATGACGTCCTTGTTCTTCTCAAGGACTCCTCGGATAAGGGAGGGCACCTTCGGGGATTCCTCCTTATGGTTGTCCTCCTTTAGTACTGCCAAGTAGGTTGGCTCTCCTCGCTTTGCCCCCTTGGCAAGCTGCATCGCGGAGAGTTGCTTGCTAGCACTCTTGTTGTCCCCTTCTATAGTTGGAACCATGCATGTAGAGCCCTTCTCCAATATACAAACAGTACTAAAGGATGACATTGGTATAGCTGTTACCTGTCATAAGAAGTCCATGCCGAGTACCACCTTGAAGTCGTCCATGGGTGCTATTGAGAAATTCACGTGTCCTTGCCATGTCCCTAGGCGCAGACTCACGTTGCTAGCAATTCCGTTGAGTCGACGAGCATTGGCATTGACAGTCTTTAGCCACCCAGTTTTCTCGGACCAAGATAGTCTTAACCTTGCGGCTTCCTCCTTGGTAATGAAGTTGTGACTGGCTCCTGTATCCACCAGAGCCTTTGTCGGAGTCCCGTTAACATGCGCTTCCACGTACATGAGCCCTTTGCTAGACGTGATGCGCTCGGGCTTGGTATTGAGGACATTGAGGACTTGCAACGAACCTATCATTGTTGGCTCTACCTCCTTAGTCCCAGTCTTGGATTGCTCCATGATGGATGAGAGGGACCCTAGCTTTGGACAATCCTTCATGGCATGTGGCCCCTTGCACACGAAGCAGCCTCCCTTAGGGACAAACGCCTGTTTCTTCTCCTCGTAGCTGCGGCGTCCGAAGTTTCGATCCTCCTTGGCCGGCACTCGTCGCTGGTCTCGGAAGTCTCGGTTCTTGTTGTCCCTTTTGTCTCCCCCACCTTTGGCGAGATACTTCTTGTCTTTCTTGGTGGCATCGAAAGATGAGGATGGACGAAACTCAATTAATGACTCGGCAGTGACAATCGCATCATCAACTGACTTGACGCCCCGACGTTGTAACTCTTGTTTCGCCCAATGTTGGAGTCCATCCACGAAGAAGAAGAGCGAGTCGTCTTCGGCCATATTGGGAATCTGGAGCAAAAGGGTGGTGAACTCTTTGACATAGTCGCGTATGGTCCTTTTTTGCTTCAACTCCCGTAATTTTCGTCGGGCCTCGTAGACAACATTCTCCGGATAGAATTGTCGGGCCTCGCTCGATGTCGCCGTGCTTCCTGCGCCACCATAACATAGCAGTATCAGAAAGGTAAAGGGAAGCAGTCTTTACCTTGGTAGCCTTGTCCGTGAGATTTATGCCCTTGAAATATTGTTACATCCTCCATAAGAAGTTGTCAACTTCTTTGGCGTCCCTTACGCCATTGTAGTCTGTCGGCCTCGGACACTCCACCCTTGGTACGGGCGTGGAGTTGCTAGCCTCCCCACTAGCAATCGCCTTCTTGCAAACAGTGAGATCCTCACGCATCCCCTCGATGCTTGCTTGGAGATCCTTCACAAGGTCCTCCAGGTGATCCAAGCGGTCCTCCGTGGAGCTTTGTGCGTCGAGCCCCTCTTGGACAACACCTTTGACGGACTTGATTTCCTCCAAGACGTGTGTCTCCAACGTTTTGAAGGTGAACTCGACCCTTAGCCTCTCGTGCGCCCTTCGCAACTAGCTAAGTCAGCCTCACCTCACTCGGGATCGTGCTCGGTGTGTGCAAGTGCTTTGGCTAAAGTAAGCGAGAAAAGAGAACTTGAAGGGAAAATGCTTCGATTACTCAAACTCTAGTACAAGTGAGCTCTCAAAGCTTGGATGATTTGCAAATGAGGGGGCCTCCTATATTTATAGGCACCATCTCCTCTAAGGATTTCTCTAGATCCTTCAAGGGTCTTGGTCTTTCTAGACCCTTCCACACAAATCCTACTCTTTCTACACATGTCCTAGAACCTTCTACACAACTCAAGATGATTCTTGCCCTTTCTACAAGTCTCTACAAGGTTCTAGGATGTTCTTGTCCCTACTACAAATATCTACATAATTCTGGAGCCTTCTAGAAGCTTCCAGTCAAAACTAGGCCTTTCTAAAGGCTTCTATCTACAAGTAACTAGGCTTGGTGGTGAAAGAAAAGGCGAGCAAGACTCGTTCCTGCTCGTGTGCGTGCGGGGAGTGATGCGGGGCGTTACAATAAGCTTCCAGTAGTGTACCCATTATTATGCGCATTTGTCTTGATAAAAAGGTCCTGACAGAAACCAACTTGCTCAAGTAAAATGCTAGCTTTGTGGATGTGAGCTTGTTGTATCTCCAACTCCAACAACTCAAAACCATCAATAAGTGCTTTGAAATAGACAGTAGAAATAGAGTAAACAGAAGGGAACAATGGAGTTTTGTGTGTTGCGTCTGAGTGTTGAAATGCCACTCATTGTTCAGGCCCACCACGAGGCTGTGATGGTGGTGGAAAATGACATCGAAGAGGTTATGGGGCGTTTGGCATGTGGTTTTATTTGTGAAGAAGAGGGGAACGGAAGAAGTGAAAGATAAGATGAAAAAGGGGTAATGGGATAGAGGGGAGAAAAAGAGAAAAGGAAAATAAAAGAAGAAAATCACAACCATTCATTTCTAAATGAGATAAAAGCTGATGAGTATAAAAAGATTTCCCTTGCGGGTAGGCATGTTACACTCCCACCCTAACCATTGTTTTTCCTTTTAGCAATTTCATATTGTTAATGGATAGTAATACATAAAGACTAATGAGACTACCTTGCTAAGACAAGAAAGTGGAGAATTGAGAAGGGAATCTTTTAGTATTATAGCTTTGTAAAATATGAAACAACAAATTTAAATAGTGTTGGAATTTCAGCACAAAAGGTAGTAAGGATGGAAAATTGAGATTAAAAAAAAGGTTTGAATTTGGGAATGGTATCTTAAAATTGGGTGTAGTAAAAATTGATTTTTGTCTAATTGTTTAAGTAGAATCACTTTCCATACCTAGCATCAATTTTACTCTCTAAAAAATAAAATAAAGTCAATTTTCTCAAATATAATTCTACTCGATGGAAATTTGATTTTTTTTTCACTGCAAAAATTGACCTACAGTCAAACACACTTGATTACTGTGCTCTGGGCACTTTCTTGCCGCAAATGTGATTCCTCCTTCTAGCATATAGGCTTGGAGTCAAGGAGACCCAAGAGGTACTCTGGTTCAGAAAATTCCAATCAATTAAGTGTAGCAACTTCCTAACTTCAATTTGAACTATTGGAGGTCCCATATCAACTAGAAATGTAATCAAATTTAAATATATATTTGGGTGAAACTCTTATTATAAGTTGCTTTTGTGAGGTTGATTATTTTTTTCACTGCAAAAATTTGACCAAAAAGTCAGATACTCTTTGTTACTGTACTTTGGGCACTTTTTTGTGCAAATGTGATTCCTCCTTCGAGCATATTAGCTTGGAGTCAACGAGACCAAACAGTGACTCGTTCAGAAAATTCCATGTAATGAAGTGTAGCTACTTCTTTACTTCAAATGTGAACAGTTGGAGATCTCACATCGATTAGGTATTAAATTATAATATATAAGTGGGTATAAACCTCACCTAATAAGCCAATTTTTTGAGGTTGAGTTAGGCTTGAAATCTACTTTCTAAAACCACTCACAATATCGAGTTCCACACACAATATGTCCAATCCTCAGCATAGGATATATTTTCAAAACAGAGATATAACCTAATTATAATGTATAAGTAGGTGCAAACCTCGCCTTATTAACTAATTTTGAGGTTGACATAGCTTTAAAATCCACTTTCTTAGAGGAACAAACTTGATGGTTATTGACAAAGGTTTTTAATACATATACTACTGTTACATTATGTGAAGTGTGCAATTGTTGACTTCAATTTAACCTCATGCTACAATTTCTTTCCCTTCCTCATGCTAATTAGCAATTAACAAATTATTTTGAAACCTGCACTTCGACTTTAATGTCTGCACAATTTTAATGTTGATCACTGTCTCAGTCTTGAAAAAGGAGTTGAACTGGATCACCACTGGGTTGAGTTTGATGATGTTCGATATCATATTCAGGTAATAATTTTTTATTGAGACGATTTTCAGGAAAATATTTTGATTATTTCCTTGGATTCTTTAACATGTCTGGTTAAATTTTGCCCTAGATAGTTTTAATTAAAATTAAGTGATTTTGACAGTTTTAGGTTGCACATTAACTAAGCAATAATTATTGTAGGTGTCAATGAAGAATCCTCATGTTTTGCTGCTATCAGTTTCGTTGCCTACTCCTTCTTCAGAAACTATTTTTGTTAATGGACTTCCTTTTGGAGCCATTGAAGCAATAAAAGCTTCATATGGTAATCTTGTGCAAATTCTTGATCCTCCAAGGGATGGCTTTAACCTCACATTAAAAATAAATCTGTCAAAGCTTCCGGCAAATCAAGGTACAAAGAGTCTGTGTAGAATGTCATTGTAACTTTCCATCTTCCTTTTCGGGAGGAGTTTTTCCTCTTAAGCTGAATTTATAAGCTACTGTTTTTCTGTGCGTTAGAACAATTGACAAGTGTAAAACTTTCATTAGTCTTGCATGTTGTTTCAACATCTTTTTAGCTTCAGGTATTAATTGTTGCCTTACACACACCATATATATTTATATATATATATATATATATATATATATATATATATATATATATATATATATATATATATATATATATATATATATATATTTTGACGTTGGTTTTATCCAAATGAAGATTATAATTGAAACTCTAAAATAGTGTCTTTTGATCAATACCAAAGCTTTCTCAGCTCAATCTCTGAAAAATGGTTATTTATGGCCCTATGGCATTACTTGGTTATTCTTCTTTTCCTTGGTTCCTTTGTGCAGTGGTCTTTGATTATCTGGGACCACACCCGGATGAAATATAACGTAATCTAATTGTGAGAAATCAAATAGTATTTTAGGAAAGAATAAATAAGGAAATTTGTATATTCCCTTGTAATCTGTACAGATTTGAATAATTAGGAACAATCCCATAAATCAAGGGATCCTAGCATAAAATAGTTATTATATTTCCTAAAACAGTTTAGGTCTCTTGTATATATCTTATATCATCTCTTTGTATTGAAATAATAAGAATCATATTTCAGTTAATCTATTTTTCAAGATGGTATCAGAGCTTCCGATCTAGGAAGCTCTGTCTGCGCGCGATAAACCCTAAGACGGCAGCCTGCATTGCTGCTGCATTTTTCTTAACCCTAAGACGGCAACCTACATTGTTGTTGCATTTTTCTTAATCCTAAGACGACAGCCTGCATTGCTGCTGCATTTTTCATAATCCTAAGACGACGATCTGCATTGTTGTTGCATCGCACCTTTTTGCTATAATGTCAAGGGAAGAGGAGATAGAAAGGGTGAAAACCATTCTTAGTAAGTTGGAAAAACCTACGGGTATGTGTTCTTTGGCATACTCGGGTAAGTTTCCACCTTCTTTTGGATTAAATGTCTCGAGATACGCCTTTTAACCATTATTGGATATTGGACTCTGGAGCCACAGATCACATGACACCATTAGCCAAACACTTCTCCACATATTCCCCATGTCCCAAGAACAAGAAAATTGCCACAGCAGATGGAACCCTTATAACTACAGATGGTCAAGGAAATATCCAAATCAATCCTTTAATAACCTTAAAAGACGTTCTCCATGTCCCAAAGTTGTCCACGAACCTAGTGTCTATACAAAAACTTATAAAGGATTTGTCATGTAAAGTTGTTTTTTCCAACGATCATTGTGTATTTCAGGATAAGGATTCTGGGAGGATGATTGGACATGCTAGAGAATGGAATGACCTTTATTATCTCGAAGATCCAAGTCTCGCTCAAGAAGAATAGAATCTCTCACTCCTTCATATCTCGAATCCTTGATGACCAACGAGAGAAAAATCATGCTTTATCATTGTCGGTTGGGACATCCCTCTTTTGGAGTGATCAAAATTATATTTCCCTCTTTGTTTACCAAGTTAGATGTTGAGAGCCTTCATTGTGAGGTATGCGAACTTGCTAAGCACAAACGTATATCTTTTCCAATAAGTAATAGAATTAGCAATTTCCCTTTTTATCTTGTTCATACTGATGTATGGGGACCTTCTAATATTCCAAATGTGTCTCGGTACTCGATGGTTTGTCACCTTTATAGATGACTGTACAAGGGTCACTTGGGTTTTCCTACTTAAACAAAAATCGAAGTCGGTTCTGTCTTCCTAAACTTCCACTCCATGATAAAAAATCAGTTTGGTGTTAATATTAAGAGGCTTAGGTCGGATAATGCCAAAGATTACTTCAATCATGTCCTTAATTCTTTTTGTCAAAAAGAAGGTATAATTCATGAGTCCTCTTGTGTCAAAACACCACAACAGAATGGGGTCGCAGAGAGGAAAAATGGACATCTATTAAATCAGACTCGGGTATTGTTGTTCCAAAAAAGTGTCCCAAAAAATTTCTGGGGGGAAGCTGTCCTTACAGCAACATACCTTATCAATAGACTACCCTCTAGAGTCTTAGGATCAAAAAGCCCTATGGAAGTTTTGTCGTCTTTCTATCCAAACTTGTCTACTACAAATAATCTTAAACCAAGAGTTTTTGGGTGCATCTCATATGTCCATATTCATAGTATAGATAGGGGAAAACTTGATCCTAGAGCCTTAAAGTGTGTCTTTGTTGGTTACTCACCCACTCAAAAAGGGTATAAATGCTACCACCCCCATCCAAAAAATTCTTTGTGTTTAGGGATGTTACCTTCAATGAACAAGAGGGCTATTTCCATCAACCTTATCTTCAAGGGGAGAGTTTCAGGGAAGATAAGGAAAGTAGTGATTCTGGTTTTCCCATTCTTCCAGACTTGACATTTGAACCTAAACGAAATCATATTGAAAGTAGTAATTCTGGTTTTCCCATTCTTCCAGACTTGATATTTGAACCTAAACAAGATCAAATTGAAGTTGTAACAAATGAAACAAGTCAAGGAATTAGTCAAGCAAAGGAAGTTGGTCAAGAAAGTGAAATTAATTGTGAAGCCGATCAAGAAGATGTTGAAACTGGAAAATTTGGTAAGAAGTCTGGTGTACTCAAGGAAGACTAAGGCCATTCCAGGATCAAGCCATGTTCAAGAATCCAACTCGACTCCACAAAAAGAGGTAACAATTTTTTCTCCAAGTATGCAGGGATGAAATTGAAACCCAAAATGATCCCGACCTCCCAATTGCCATTAGAAAAGGAACAAGAAAATGCACCAAACAGCCACTCGACCCTCTCTCAAATTACCTGTCCTTTAAAAATTTCTCTCCTACCCATAAAACCTTCCTAGTAAACCTAAACACCGTACTTCTACCTAATACCCTATCCGAGGCATTGTCCGACAGAAAATGGAGGCAAGCCATGGATGAAGAGATGGAGACATTGGAGAAGAACAACACTTGGGAGTTAGTCACCTTACCAATAGGAAAGAGGCCAGCTTGGATGTAAATGGGTCTATACGAGTGAAATACAAGGCCGATGGATCAATTGAGAGATATAAGGCAAGACTAGTTGCCAAAGGGTTCACCCAAACCTATGGAGTTGATTATTTGGAGACCTTTGCTCCGGTTGCCAAAATGAACACAAGTTAGGGTGATATTGTCCCTTGCTGCCAATTATGGTTGGAACTTGGAACAATTTGATGTTAAGAATGCTTTCCTACATGGAGACCTTGAAGAAGAAATCTATATCGAGATACCTCCGGGATATGGTAAAGATGTTGCTCGCCAACACTCGTTTGCAAGTTGAAAAAGACATTATATGGGTTAAAACAAGTCCCCGTGCATGGTTTGGCAGGTTTACTAAAGTTATGACAAGTCCGGGTTACAAACAAAGCCAAGGGGACCATACTTTGTTTTTTAAACATTCCAAGTCGGGGGAGTAACAATATTATTTGTGTATGTGGATGACATAATATTAACTCGGAGATAATAAAAAAGAGCAACAATTATTGAGTCAATGCTTAGGCAAGGAATTTGAGATCAAGACTTTGGGAAAACTAAAATATTTTTTGGGAATTGAAGTTGCCCACTCCGAGAAAGGGATATTTATATCTCAAGCAGAAATACATCACCGATTTGCTCAAGGAAACCGGCAAGGCAGCTTGCAAACCCGCTAGTACCCCATTAGAACCAAACCTAAAGCTTGGAAATGCAGAAGAAGATGTTGTCGTTGAAAAAGATATGTACCAAAGATTAGTGGGCAGACTTATATATTTGTCACATACCAGGCCGGATATTGCCTATGCAGTGAGTTTAATTAGCCAATTTATGCATAGCCCAAAGGAGACCCATTTACAAGCTGCCCACGTAATTTTACAAGTACCTTAAAGGAACTCCAGGAAGAGGGATTCTATTCAAAAGGAATGGTAATGTGAAGCTTGAAGCCTATACTCGATGCCGATTATGCAGTGGTCAATTGTGGATAGGAGGTCAACTACAGGATATTGCACCTTTCTTAGAGGAAATCTTGTGACTTGGAGAAGCAAAAAGCGAGGTGTAGTGGCTCTGGTCCAATGGTCGAAGCGAATTCCGAGCCATGGCACAAGGTATATGTGAGTTGCTATGGCTTAAAATCAACTTAGAAGACTTGAGGATAAAGTGGGAAGAACCTATGAAGCTCTATTGTGATAATAAGTCAGCAATCAGTATAGCCCACAACCCAGTGCAGCATGATAGAACAAAGCATATTGAAGTAGACAGACACTTCATCAAAGAAAAGCTTGATAGTGGCTTGATATGCACTCCATATGTGTCCTCTCAAGACCAAATTGCAGACATTCTTATCAAGGGACTGGGCTGCCATAATTTTGAGAAGATTGTATCCAAGCTGGGAATGGAAAACATCTATTCACCAGCTTGAGGGGGAGTGTGAGAAATCAAATAGTATTTTAGGAAAGAATAAATAAGGAAATTTGTATATTCCCTTGTAATCTGTACAGATTTGAATAATTAGGAACAATCCCATAAATCAAGGGATCCTAGCATAAAATAGTTATTATATTTCCTAAAATAGTTTAGGTCTCTTGTATATATCTTATATCATCTCTTTGTATTGAAATAATAAGAATCATATTTCAGTTAATCTATTTTTCAAGACTAATATCAATTTATTTAGTGGTTTCTTGACCATCAGTATTTGCAGTTTATTTTATGACCACTCTGGTGTGATTTATTGTGATTTTATGTGAATATTACTGGGGATTGCATAGGTTACTGCTTGATGATGGCATGGATTATATAATACAACGGGGAAATTTTTTTTGGCTGATAAAGTTAATTTTTGATTTGTGAAGAGAGGAATGAGAGTACTTCTTAACAAATTTATTTGTCCTACTCTGAATTACAAAGCAGAGCATATATTTATATTAGGTGTCATAAATACCAGAATAATTAGACGTAATTATATGAATATACAGTTATCCTAATTTACATAATTTCAAGAACATAATCTTCCCTGTTTATAATATTACTGTAATTGTATATTTACAGCACTCCCATTGGGTTTGATCACTATCTTTCATGGCAAATGTGAAGAGAAATATTTGTTTTAATGTGCATCCATTGCTGCACTTTGGTGCATGTGGTTTCTATGGCACAACACTTGACTTCATTGGTGTCCTCTTTCTTTTTATGCGTTTTTCTCTAAACTTAATAAAGATTTATTATTCTTTCAACTCTTAGTAAATTTTTTTTTTTGTCTTAGTGGAGTACTTTTACTAGAAATTAGGGTGGGTCTTATGTTGGACTGTGGTACTCAATAGAAGTAATAATAATAATAATGCTAATGTTATATTTTCCAAAGCTACAGAAGTTTTTTCTTAAGTTTGTGGTGATTATTCAGAACTGGTTACTCATCTCTTTATGGAATTGTTCAGCTTATGCAATTTTTCCTTTTATATTAATAAAGAAAATTAGTTGTTTGTCACAGGCCTTATGCTTTGATACATTTCATTTTTTATTTATTTTATGTTTTAGCATTTCAGGGTAAAAGAAAAGATTTTTTTGTAAATATGCATACTTAGTTTTTCATAACCTTTCCGAACATATTTCTGAATCCCTCTATTCGTATATTGAAATTTTGGTTTACTGAAAAAGAGAAAAAGGAATTTGATTAAATTATTTGGTTGTTGATGCTCTTTTACAATTGGTGATGTTGAACTTGTGCAGAGCAAAAATATGCCTTTTTGGTAAAAGTTGCATCAATAAGAGAGGTCGTCCTTGGTGCACCACTGAGAGTAATTTTAGAACATCTTGCTGCAAGAACTGTTGCTCCGGACTTGGATCCACCTGTTGCCCTTGTTCATCGGCCTAATGAGTCTTTCTTTCTTTTTCCTCAGGTGCGTGATAATAATAGCAACTTTCTGTTACTTAAGCCTTTATTGCTGCTTGGAATATTTAGTTTAATGTTTTCTCCCAACACTACGGAGTAGTTCCATAACCATGCTATATGCAGGATTAACTTCCTTTAAGCATAAATTTTGTTTCTCAACTTTCTTGTCAGGCTATATATATACAATGTACGCTTTACTAGAAGAGAAAAAATACATAATAAGGAAGACAGTGAGGCCGTTACTGAAAGCAGTGTGTATTGGTCGATTTCGAAAGTGCTATTGTGGGATGACTTCTGTTTTTGGAATTTTTATGGTTGATATAATTTATACAATATGCATATAAATTCTCAAAAATGATAAACAATACTCAATTCATTACATTCATAATTAACAATAAAAAGTCATTGGTGTCTTAAACAAAGATACAAGCCAATATCAATAAAAGGAAAATACAGGTTTCCTAGATAGGAATCTTCAATCATCATCTTCTAAATCTTTAAATCAAGTTGAATTTGAGTGATGAGTTTTCTCTAATTGTTAGAATTTCCATTGGTTTTGGAGCAAAGCACTATATATGATCTATGATCTTATCAAGGCAACTTGTTGTGGTGATCAAAATCTCATGACTTATAATCCTAAAGGAAAGGAAAATAAAATTATATCCTAAAAAGGATAAAATCTTAGTTGGAAAAAAACAAGTCTCACATTGCTAGAGATAAGACCAGAATAATATATATAAATGGGGGACAACTCTCCTGATATGTGGGATTTAGTTGGACTTAAACCAAAATTTTAAGATGGCACCAAAGTTATCCTAGATCCATTAGGAAAAGGATCACCTATCTATCATATTATCCAGGCATCATTCCAATTAGTGTATGTAAGTGGGGGAAAATCCTCACATCTAGTTGGTTTTGTAATGTTAAACTAGGTTCAAACCCAAATTCTAAGAAATATACCCTGCCATAATTAGGGGCATTGATTGTAGAAAGAGGAAAAACTATTAGTATGGCTACAAATTATTATAATTGCAATATGTCAATAATTTATTTTTTCTCGAATAATTATGATGAAACTCTTAGCTAGGGGCAGTTATATGTAGAAATAACTGCTTTAGAAAACAGTTTTGTATTAGAAGAAACTCTAGGATTATGTATAGAAAATAACTGGTGGTAGTTACTTGTAAATTAGAAACCACAAGATGACAATTGTGTATGAGGAGTATATATCTGATAGATTTTTGTCGTTGTAATTAGGGGAAGTGTAAAGTTTTTGGTAGTTTATGAACAGATAATACTCTCTTTAGGAGATTTTTGTCTTTTGGATGGCAAGTGTATTGCAGTATTATACATGATAAAATACTGTATTAGGGACAGCGAGTGTGTGGCTGTTCTGAGTGATTTTAGTGTTAAATATTATATTTATTACTTTTATCAATTGGTGTTCTATCAATTTGGTTCTACATGCCAGTTCAAGGAGGGAATTTTTGTGTCTAGTAGAGTACACTCTGTAGGCAATTTTTGTCTTTGGGACAAGTGTTTTGCTGTATAGTGAGTGATTTTAGTGTTCAATGTTTTATTTTATTACTGTTATCAATTGGAGGTGTTCTATCAAGTTGGTCTAACCTGCTAGTTGAAGGAGGGAGCTTGTAACCATTGTATGACGTGGAATAGCCAAGGAAGAGACATTCATGAGATTTAAAGTCTAATTTATTGGGATTATATGGTCTGATGATGGGAAAACAGGCACAGCTAAAGGTTTTTTAAAAATTGTAATCTGGTTCTTGTTTAAACAGGATAGTGTAGGGAACTTTAAAATATACAAAGGCGGTTGGGAGTCTATTATTAAGGTAGACAGCAGTAGTAAAGGCATACTCCCAAAATTTTACAGTAAAGATGACAAGGAGAGTGAGGCCAAGATAAACTATATCCCTTTGTTTTAATTCAATAACACCATTATGATGGTGAGTATGGGGACAAATAAGAATGTTAACACCTAATTCTTTTTTATGATAAGGCCCTTGAAAGCTGGTAGAGGGTGGTGGTTGAAAAGTTTGATCAAATCTTCTGTAACACAGGCTGTAGCCATATATCCAAATCTGAATCAAATTTGACACTGCATTATGGAAAACTGACCACCATGACCATGTTCTCCGGGGCCACCATGGCTGCGATTATAGTTTCACCCTCCATTAAAGGTTATGTCATTATCATGAGACGAATGATTGGTCTGAGCAATAGGAACTGCATTTTGTTAGTTGGGTGTGGTTGAGGTAGGGACTAGAGTAAGGTTGATATAGAAGCTGATTTGGGAGCAAGTAACAAGTCTTCGATGACTTCATTAGGGAGAGGTTCAAATCACAGAAATTACTGGCCTGTAAACTTGTGGAACTCCTTCAAGAATCACATCAACGTATTCTTTCAAGGAGGTAGACTCACCAACAAAAACCAGAGCATCAATTAAGGCTTCAGTATAAAAAAAAATTCTTCCATTGACTTGTCGTCAAGAATAGTCGAGTGCAACTTGGCTTGCAGCTGGCCAGAGTTCGAGTCTCTGAATGAAAAAATCATGAATTTTGTCCCAAACTTGCTATGCATGAACACTGACAAGAACTTGAGAAAGAATTGAAGTTGAAAGAGACTATTAGAGCCATGACATAAGCATCTGGTTCTATTGTGCTCAGACAGCATAATCAGGATTAATAACTCCTGCAGCCCGATCATATTCTGTCAAGAACTTAAGTGGAATTGAAGGACAAACAATAAACTGTTGAAGTTGATGAGCTTCAATAACAAGTTCAACCTGTTGACACTACAGAAAAAGAATTCGATTATCAAGCTTGGTGGACAATTGGCCATGACGAACTTCAAGCTCTGGATACCGTGTGCAGAGAGATAAAAAAATCTATAAGATTCTGTATCATTGAAACTGAAATTTTCTTAATCTGAACACAAGAGACAAATCTCTATGTAGATCTGAAGTGAAACAAGTGCTATCAGAGGACAGTTGTAACAAACTGCACCAGACTGAAAAAGTGCACTGACTAATCTACCTTACAGTTACTTTTAACAAACTAACTATCTCGTGAGGGTTTGTGTTGGAAAAAATAAAAGACGGACTAAGTAATTCAGTTTTAGGCAGTTATATTTTATGGTGTTGGTGTGACTATCAGTGGTGTATATGTCAGTTATGTTTGTTTTATTTTTGTATTAGGCGGTTAGGTTTTATTGTGTAACAGTTATGTTGTTGTATATGTGGTGATGGGCCTTTAGGAGACTGTTAGTGTGTCAGTTTGTTTGAAGGAGGAAACTTCGTGTAGTTAATGTATTGTTCTTCAAAACTAGTATACAAACCAAATTACTCAAGTGAAATATAAATATTTTTGTTTGTTCAATCTTTTAGTCCAACAGAAAGTCCTCTGGAAGATAGACCATTTATTAATATCATAATAGGACTGAAAATATTTTTTTTCAGAATGTATTACTTGGTCTTCACAACAGCAAAGGTGAACTAGTTCCTTGACATTGTATACAAAATATTTAGGCACTTATCATCCATAAGCATGAAGTTACTCTGCAAAGTTTAGCATCCCTCAAAGTCCTGCTTTCATTATGCTTCCCGAAGCCTTTATAACTGACTTTACCAAAATTTCTCAAAATTTGCTTGAGATAACCAACTGTTAAAAAATAATGGATTTGGAGGAAAAGGAAACCTCTTCAGCTTTTGTTAGAAAAGTTGTCTCATGTACAGCTTTTATAAAAGCTGTTCTTTGCTGTACCTGTCAGACTGATAGGTCCTAGGTGTAGACTTTTTCTATCCTATCTTTTGAACTTCTGATTCAGACCTGAATAAATATAGATATGCTTAGACGTCATAATCTGTCAAGCATTCAGTAAAAGGAAAGTTTTAATATAGTAAACTTCAACTGTTAAAAAAAATACTAACATTGAAGAAAATATATAAATGGAGTGAATTGATTGAACTCAACCAGATATAGGGAGAACAAACAATCTTTGTTGCATTGAATAGCCTCTGAACAGTATCAACAAGGTTGAAGACAGATAAAAAAGTAATACAATAAAGTATGAATCCCTTTACATGAAATGGAATAAACGCTTAATGTTATTCCCTAAAAGTACACACACTCTACATCAAACAGAATAAATGCTTAATCTTATTCCCTTTTTCAGTTGCTGTGGCATAGAGACCTTACAACTGAGCATAATAGCGTATGTATCAAGTGATAGTTGATTGCAAACAGTGATAAGTTGGGTGTGTGCACAGGGATTTGCGTGGTTTAAAACCGATCTTGTTAACTCTATTATAGTTGTTTTCTATATTCACAATAGTTACAATGATAAAGTAATATTCATGATTGATTGAACTAATGGTTAAATATCTATTGAATTTTAAAAAGTAGCTTTTAAAAGAAACAATCCAAGTTAAGAGGAACTGTCAATGGGAAAGTATTGCTAGGATCAAATTTCAACGAACATGCTCCTATACATTTTCAATACATGCTCCTATACATTTTCAGTACTATACATGCTTACTCTCATTCTCTGTTTTTGTAATTGCTAAAAATCACTAATGGTCAATCCCTTAATGATTAGATCCTACGTACTTTTGATAACAATTTATTCCTCAACAATCACCCCAAGAACCAGCTTTAAGAATAGCAACATAAAAACCAAAGAGTCAAGTCTATTCCTAGCAATCTGATTCATTAGGTAACCCATTCGAATCATGACTAGAGATAATTTTTCCAATCGATGTTGAAATCTAGAATGACAAGTTTTATACTTCGGGTGAGCGAATCTTCCAAAATCTATTTGCCCAAATTTAACTTAATAAGATTCGCTAAGCCAAATGGGATTCACTCAGTGATTTTTGCTCGCGGGAAACCCATATTCTCATTTCCTGTTTCGCCAATTAAATTTGTTGCAGGTTAAATTCCATGCTATCTGTCCTTTGTCGCTGAGCATTGTTGAATTGGTTCAGCGTCTAGGCTACATCATGTTTCAGGATCTTTCTGTTATGAATTTGTTTAGTAAATTAAGATTAACGAATTTTCTGTTGCACCAATTCTTAAATATTTCTACTAAGCTTGGCTTCTCCCTGAACTAAAATTATATGGGATCAAAATAGTAATAACCACATTCCCTAATTAAACTGAATTTCCATCTCAATTACGACCATGAAATGGTAAAATAGGCAGTCAACAATGTCTTTTGTCCGTTGTGCAAATCTGCTACAATAGTTGCTGTTGAACAAAGAAAAGGATAAAATAATAAAAAAAAGAATTCTTGTAAGTTGAAGCTGGAAAAATCTAGTTTATGAATCATGTTTTTCTGACAGGCTGATAAGGTGATCGTGGTGTATCCTATGAGATTCAACGATTCAATAGACATTGTTCTTGCAACTTCATTCCTGCAGGTATGTTTTCTTTGGTATTACATATCTAAGGTCATTTGGATTAAAGAGAGCAGAGAGAGAGATAAAAGTATAATTTTTGTTACATTTTTCAAACCATTCTTGTGTTGTGCTTTATTTTGGGTGGTTTGATGGTTTCAATTTTCTAGCTTTATTGTAATTTAGGAATTTGTCGAAGCCAGGCGTACAGCAGGACTTCATAATACCCCGCCTTGTTCGTGGTCACTTACTCCTCCACTGGAAATAAAAGGAGTTCCCTCTGATGCATTATCTGCAAATGCAGGATTTGTTACATTTGGTTAGTGTCAGGAAAGTGTGTGTGTGTGTGTGTTTTTATTGCTAGCATGACTGCAATTTAATATGTTCAACTCTGCAGTTATTTTCCCCCGTCATGTTGAAGGCCAGAAACTGGATCGTACAGTATGGAATCTGTCAACTTTTCATGCCTATGTTAGCTATCATGTTAAGGTGTGGGTTTCCTCCAACCAAATATTTTCAGTTGCAATGTATTTTGTATTGTGATGAAATGCTGATCTTGATTTGGTATCTCTTAAATTATGGTCGAAAATGATAAGAAGAAGATACTATATTTTACTCCACGAAATATTTAGACATGAAGGATTTATTTGATCTTAAATAAAACCAATTTTTTTTTTTTGTTACAAAAAAGATTTGTAATTTTGCAGATAATTTACCTTGTTTGAAGTATCATTTTTATTTTAAAACAGAGAGGGACATTGGTGGAAAATGTTGGAGAGAGTATATGTTCATGTGGATTTTGTTAATATAGATTTGAGTTGATATTGTAAATTATGGCAGAGTTAGAAAAGCTTAAGCTAATACAGTTATATAATTGTCTGACCAATAATGCTTATTTTTACAAAACCTGCATAAATGATACTTGATCCCTGATCTTGCATTATGGTTATGTGTAACAGTGCTCCGAAGGATTTATGCATACACGCATGCGGCGTCGTGTGGAGTCCTTGATTCAGGTAATCTTATATTTTATTTTATAAGTTAACTTTGTATTCACTTAAAAATCTTTTAGTACTTCACCTTTGCTTGATATTGCAATTCAATGTTGCGAAGGAATGAAGCTAATATGAATGATTTAAGTGGCATCCTAGGGCCCACTTAAAAATACCGCACATTATATTTTATCCATTGAAGAATTTGCTAAGTTGAAGTGAACTTGTTCTGCTGCATTGGCAGGTGGAATCATTGTCTACGTTTGTGATTAATTGCTTTTATGTGACATAAATGTGTTGGTGGTCATTTTCCCTTAAATGATTTCTTGAGTTTCACTGCATAATTTGTAATAAAACCTGTTCTTGCTTTGTAGGCTCTGGATCGTGCCAAACCAGATGCCGAGAATTCAACGAAAACTTCATTCAACAGATCCTTCAAACGGCTGGTTTGTTATGTGCATTCTTGTGATGGTTTTTAACTAAATTTTCTTTTCATTTGTGTTTTATAGTAAGACTTATGGCTGAAATTTTTTACTGGCGTATAGGGTCTGAACGATTCAAGGACCAACTCATAAAGGAAAAGCTGGGTGAGGAAGATGTGCTGCTTCTGCCCTCTATTGGACTATACCATCGCCATCCAAGGAATCGCTATTGCATGTTTGCAGAATGTTCCAGATGCTTGTAACCCGAAGTTGTGATTCTCCTTCTGAACTCTTCACGCCAAGTATCCAAGGACTTGCTGGACTATTTCTGCAGACTGCTCCAGGAGCTTGTAATTTATTCATTGAAAAAAATAGGATACAAATACAAGAGAAACGACCAAACAAATTAGTTATTAAAATGTACAATGATTTATCATCCGAATGTTCTGTACTATATATATATATATATATATATATATATATATATCTGTGCTGTATTTGGGGATACGTATCAAAATATCTTTCTTTTTGAGGCATTCATCAAATTTTCCCTTCATTGTAAAGTATCCATAATGTCTTGATGCAAGTTTAAACTCGTGAATGAGGTGACATGGATAAGCTTTTCTTAACGTTTGAGGGGTTTTGAATTAGACCATGTGTGCTTCTGTGGATTGTAATTCAAAATAATCTTGTTTGCTATAATATCAGTCATTCAATCACTAACTCTCTCCTCCGTGTTCTCAGAACTATTGTACCGTAGTTTACTTGAGCTCAAAATATATGCTACACGTCAAAGTAGTAGCAGAATCAGCAATATGTTTAGAAGCTATTGAGACCATGAAATCAGCACCTGAAGCTTGTTCTGGGTTGATGAGTTATCATGCGATCACATCTTACCTAGAGAGACTTCTTGATAATGTTCTTTTGCTGTTGTATTTTTGTTTTTATCTTTCTATTGGTTCAGTTACCTTAAGATCAAATAGAGAATATGTATGCCTGTAACCTCACCATGTGAAATATAGTTTCATTACAATTCACTTACCTAATTGTTGTCAAGAATCCTGTAGTCACAACAATCTTGACATTCACGAACGGATTGTCTGCACCTATTTCAAACGGTGGTTCCCTCTAGATTATCCACATGGTGCATCCATGAGCAACATTAGGTCATTTGAATCTGATACTCCCACCTCTAATTCTTGCTTGATTTTCCCCAGCAAACTTGTTGCTTCTAATGCAATTTCCTGTATAACCAACAAACTGCTTTTATGATCTCTTAGAAATTGCTGTAAGAAGTTAGAAATCCCAAAAATCTAGCAAGTATCTAAAACACTTTTTCAATTTTGATGACTGAACATCTAGAAATGAAGTTTGGACTCAGGTTTCTTGTATCCTAAAAGCTTTTTAGGTATTCTTTAAGAATTATTGAACGACCTCTCATTCATTTTAGAATGAGTTTTTCATATTTCGAAATTTCAGAATAAGGAGGTGATTCAAAAAAAAATTTAATTCAAGAAAAAACAACCCCCTCCTCTCCCCTTCATTTCAAAATATGAAAAAGATGGATGCTAATAATAGCTTAGACCTTTCCACTGGCTTAACTTTTCGTTTTCCAAATTTAAATCCTCTACACTAATCTACCTTTCCTATTTTTTACTTTAATTAAATTTGGTTAAATTAAAAATATAATATTAAATTCAAACCAAAAGAAAAATTAATTAACACTCAAGCGGAACATCCACCAACGTACCATTTTGTGCGGAGTAGAAATGATTGAATCCGACAAATAGCTTTTTTTTTTTTTTTTTTTAATTCTAGATGCCACGAAGCATGATTACTAGCCAAGGAATTTAAACGCATGATGTTTAATAGAACAGAGAATAATCATTTCGAATATTTAGCACAATGTTCTATCGTATCTGTTGTCTTTTACGAAACAAATTCGCTGATATTTCAGTACACATAATCAATTTAGTCCATGAAATTTTATAACTAAAGGTTACATTAACTCTCAAAAAATACAATTAGTTTCAAATGTTTTCTAAACATGTTAACTTAATAATAATAATAATAATAATAAATAAAAAAACATGAGTTTCATCTTATACACATAAAAACTAAATCAAAATCAAAATGATTGCTTGAAAAAGAATAAAAAATAAAAAATTCATGAGCTTTCACTCTGCAATCTCTACTCCGAGTCGGTGTCCAAGCTTTCCATCCCTTTCAAGCCTCTGCGTTTTTGCTGCATACCAAGATAACCCCAACAACTTGTCAGCGCACACCATCGTAAGATCAACATTTTTTCGTAAAACAAGATATATAATAATAGTGTAATATTCCAATTTAGTTTCTAAAATTATGAACATTTTTAAATTTAGAATCTAAAATTATCGAACTTGATTCTTATTGTTTGATAACTTCAAGAACTAAAACCATCATACGATAAGCTGAGAGAAAAAGTAATATTTTTGTTTTCTGATTTGAAGAATTATATTTACTCATATGATTATGAAGAACATTGTTGAATTGCTTAGGGAACAATCTCATATATCCCTACTGTCAACCAGCATCCTAAGCTGAAGCAGAAAGGAGGGGTTACCTTCTTCACGGACTTCTTCTCCCTAACCTCATATCTGCTCTTTGTCAGTTCTGATAACCACATCCCAGGGAAACAGCACTGTAAACCAATAATAATATCACAAAAAATCAATTTGTCAGTTCTTTTTGTTCATAAATTGACAATAGAGGTTTATCAAGATAAAAAAATTCTTAGATCTTAAAGATTAGGAAAAGTAATTAAGCGATTTATTAAGAGAAAAATATGCTCAGATCTCTTATAAATCAGAAAAAGTATCTGTAGAATCTTTTGATAATATTTTTAGAATTCTAATTATTTCAATATATTTTGTTTCTTACTTTAGAGAGATTGATTGGTACAAATAAAAATACTAAGAATGTAATTAGTAAAGATTATTATCTAGAAAACAATTTTTTGTTTTTTCTGCATTGTTAAAGTGAATTGAAAGTTAAGAAAAAGAAACCAATTATATATTTTTTCTTATAATTTTATTCAATCTGTGTGTATATTGGGAGTGTTCTTGGTATATACCTGTAAAATCCTGTCAACATTCTTTGCTCTCTTCTTTGGTCTTTGAGGGATTTTTGTCCCCTTCATTGCAAGAAAGTCATCTTCTTTCTCCTTTCTCGAGAGAGCAACATATATCCTTGGCCAATGAATTACCTCAACAGTGACCTTGTTTCCATTGGCAGCAATGGATGAGGTAGCAGGAGTGGTGGCAGCACCACCTTCCTGTTCAGATTGCACTGAGATCGAATCCCCTTGACTATTATTCAGCCTCTCAGATGCTTGTGTTGTTGAAAATGCACTTGGCTTTTGACACTTTGCTGATCCAGAAGAAGGCACCCTTCTGCTACTTCTTTCCATCCCAGAAGAAGACAGTTTTGGTGTTGCAGATTTAGAGACAATTGGGTTACTTTCCTGACTGTTTCTTGAGGGTGACTCACTTCCACCTAAAAAGGGATCTTCCAAATTCCTGGCTCTATCCAGAGAAAAGATTCAGGATTAGATAAATGAAAAGACACAATATAATTTTCATGATTGTTTTTTTAACATAACTAGAGAATTACATGATTGACTATTAGTAAAATTTGAAGGACCAAGAAACTTGCTATCTAGTTTGAATTTGAAGCAGAAGTAATCAAGTTCTTCAACAAAACTAGATCCATTCTAATGTAGATTCAGAAATCAAAACAAATAGGTGAAAATTGAGGAATTTTTAAGAAACCTACCTTCAAAAGGTTGAAAAAAATAGTAGAAGAAAGATATGGGAATATATATGTATGTATCAATCAGAAAAGAGTGGCACAAAAAAGAGGAGTTTTGCCTAAGAATGAATGTTATATACAATCTCATTTGTTTTTATAACTTCGATGTTCAATACCAAGATAAAAGGGAAACAAAATACCATCGGGTAAGAGGATCCAGAGAAAGTTGCAAAGAATTAGGTCATTTTTGGAATGACAAAATGAGGAAAGAAAATAGTCTACTTTGATACTTTCGACTAGGTTGAAGTTAGACAAGTTTGATACAAACTCAAAATGCGATTAAATCAAAGTATTTTTCCCAACACACCTCAAAAAATAGTGAAACTAAGAAAGATAGATAGAAAAGTACAGACAAATATGTGATTTTACAAGACATAATTAATTTAAAAATATAAAAATATGAAATTTTCTATACCTAGGGCTGTGCTTTCTAACTCTTCCACTGGAGGCAGTGGAAGAAACAAGTGGTGGTGGTGGTGGCGGCGGGGGCATGGAGAAGCTGGGAGGAACGGAATGGGAGATTCTTCTGTTGTTGGTGTGAACAGAAGATGATGAGTCTTCAATGGCAGCCCTGGAGAGCCTTGATCTCTTTCTGTGGCCCCACTTCAGGAGCACATCACCTCCATTTGGACTAGTGCTGGTGTTCATGCTGTGACTGCTCTCTACTGTTAGCTGAGGAGAATCAAAAGGGGACATGTTGGTGCTGTTCTTATCTTATGCTTTATGATCTTCGTCTAATGGCTTCTTCAGATGATGATGATGATATAAATCTGAAACCTTTACTTTCAAAACCACCACAATAGGAAGATGCTGTGACTAACTTAACTTTGCATTTGTATTATTATTATTATTCTTGGTCTTGCATGTGCTTCCCATGATGTTCCCTTCTCTTCTATTTTCATCCCTTTTGAGAGAAAAGAATTCAAAGAATAAAAAGTAAACATCTTTGATTTCACATATTCAAGATCTCCATCGGTAGATTTTGTTTTGTTTAATGAATGGTGATTTAGAATTTAAGAGAAAAAGAAAATGTGATACAAATGTCATGGCATTGACAAAATGTATGTACCTAATTAAAGTAAAGAGAACTACATTTGAGAAGATGAAAAGGCCAAGAAAAGAGAAGGCATCTAAATGTGAAGTGATGTCACTGTTGGAAGATTTAAGAGCAGGTAGACCACATCATTGTGTTTTCCTCCAAATAATGATTATCATTCAAATACGATTTATTTTATATTATACACAACAAAAACGGCTTCACATCTTGTCCTCTTTACAAAAATGATACAGAGCACTGTATATACATTGTCTTGGACAAAAATTATTTTCCCAATTCATCAAAAAATACAATAAAATAAATTATCTAACTCATTGTAAAAAATATGATTGCACTTTGGATCCTAAGTATATGATTTTAGTCTTTCTAATTATGTTAATTGGGTTCTCAATATCATAATTCTACAATTTTTATCCTTGAGACATGTCATAATTCAATACCAATATCAACTAAAATTGCTTACAATACTTGTAAGTAAATTCAAATATGGAAGAATAAATTTGTGCAATCATGATATCTGAAGGACAAAAAATGCAATTAAATTATTTTAAAAAATAAATAATAGTTTATGTAGAAGATTCATGCATGAATTGTTAAAAAATATGAGTCATTATTTTGATATCATGCTTTATATGTAGTTAATGAAATAGTTATTTTATATGTAATTAAAATATAATAATGTTATAGTTTATAATGTTAGTTATGGGGACAAAATAGTTAAAAACAAATATGAAACAAGAAGTGGTATTGCCATTATAATTTGTATAGATTCATTTATTTTTTGTAAGACATAATATGAAAATTTTATGCTAACTTGATTTTTTACGCAGGTTTTCCTACAAAATATTATATAATATTAAAATTATATATTTAATTAGCTGAACTTCAACTTGAATCCAATCAATAAATATGAGATCACTATCTTAACTAATTTAATTATCGATCTCATTTTCAAATGTTAACGTTTCCAGGATCATAAAAATATTATTAAAAAAGAATTATGGATTCAATTACGTGCGTGAATCAATTATAGAATTGTCAGCATTCTCAGCTTAAAAATTTGTAAATGTAATTTTGTTAAACAATTTAAACAAGAAAATTATCAATTATAATTGTGTTATCTACTTCAAACTTTTTTTTGGAAGAAGTGTATAAGGATAATAATATCTAATTTCAAAATCATTATAGAAATTTGAAGGGAAATTATTGTAATTTAACATTAAATTGGATGAATGCCAAGTACTATATGAGTCGCAGAGAAAACATTATATTTATTAGCAGAAGTACCTTTGTATCTTTTTTTTTAATTAAAATTTAATATATATTAATTTAAAATATAGATATTTATTCTTGAAAATAATGAATGATTGGAGACAAATAGACATAAGACAAAATAAAAAAAATATATGTAATTGAGAAAGTAAAAAAAAAGATATTTTTATATTATTTTATATTCAATAAAAAAAATAAGAGAAACAAGAAAAAGGAAAAAAATATAACATAAATATAAATTATATTTTTTGCTCTCCCATAAAACCAAAAATGGGTTAAAAAAATCTTATTTATATATTATTATGGATTAAATAAAAATAAATCAGAAAAGATATTATAAAATTAAATTATTTAAAGTAGAAAATATTAATGTTATGCTTATCAATTTCAATATATATATATATATATATTATGAAACTTTACTTTGGATGATCTAGCAGTAGTAAAAAAAAGTAATTCCTCAATGTAGTGAGTGACATCCGTATAATCAAATCATATTGACTTGACTTAAAATTATGAGAGAAATATGGTGCATTAAAATGAATATAAAGTAATGTTATGATTAGACTAACTTATATTCTAACGAACCCACCAAAATCACATGTCCATGCGGACTATATATTCCATAACAGCACTAAAAATATGAACATGCAACCAAAAAATTAAAATGAATTTGAGTTTATCTAAGCTGGCTCCAATCAGGTACTTGCCCAATCTTTTCCTATGCTTCTGCATGTAATTAAATTGGTAGTCAAGTTGTTGATTTTCTTCCGCACAATCACAGGCATAGATGCCTTAATATTCTTTTCTGAAATTTGAAATTATCCTCAGAACCGCAATGACATTAACTAACCCAAATGGTTGAGTTACTCTAATCTGTTCTCAGAATTGCAAAAGTTTTGTCTGCTTCCAAAAGCAGACTTCTCCGACAAAGCACACTTCTTGTAAGTTAAAAAGATATAGAAGGATTTACAGAATTTTCCTATTGCATCGTTCAGCTCACTGTCTTCAGGAAGTTCAGCTCAAATCGCAATAAATGAATGCCTCATATGTTGCACTAATGAATCCTATGTGGATAGCTTCTTCCTTTTTGGGTTTGTCTTGCCTGAAGAATCACCAGAGTCTCGTCTCTTCTTGTTTTTCTTGTCATCAGGGTTATCATTAGGGTTAACAGCTGCACCCTCATCGACCTTTTCTTGCTCTTCTAGTGCATCTTTTACAAAAGCTTTTAACCTCCATAGAGTGTAGTCGCTCTGTGTAATGATGAAAACATGTTGTGAAACTAGAAAATGCTAACAAAATAACTGCTTAAATTGGATAAGATAGAGAAAATTTGAAATTAGGTGACAATTAACATTGTCAACTAGCAAGGAATAATAGTATCGACCTGAGCATCCAAGTCAAGGTCCACCTCATCAGCAGCAGGTTGGAAGATTGGGTTAGTCTCAGCAACTACATTCAATGCCCTATAGAGGTTTTCTGAAGACAATTTGCCAAGAGTTACACCAAGCATTTTCTTCTCTTGAGTAGATAGTTTCCTGCAGTGTCATAAGCAATGCAAAATATGCTTAAAACAATATCATAGGATGATGACCAGAGAAAAAACAAGATACTATCACAAAACATGTGGTGCTCCAGACTGAAATACAATATTTTGGACCGAATATGATAAACGTTTTTTACGCAAACCTGCACTTTTGAATCACCATTTCTTTGAGACTCTTCAATTGCATATCAACCTCAGAGAGCTGAAAAAGTAGGTACTGATAGCATAAAATATCTGATGTAATCATATGTGACATCAAATAAATGATTTACCCAGAAAAACAAAATATTAGCAAACAATAACCAACCTCAGTGCTTATATCCTTAGCCTTATTGGCATATGTTGTCTCCTGAGCAAGCTGAACGTCTAGTTGTGCCTGTGCTTCTTCCTCTAATTGTCTCTTTTCCTACCATATGCAAATTTGGAAAAGTAATATTACACAGGAGAAGTGAAGAACCGAAATCATAGCAGTAACAAGTACAACCTCTAAAATTGTATATAAAGAATTTCATTTTTTTTTATAAATGAATTCCATTAAGATAGATAGAAGACAGATAGACAAACGATAATGCACGATCTTCCATAAAAACATGCAGACAAATGAGCACAAAAAACACGGGCGTACCAAACAATGTCCCATTCAGCTCAAGGAGTCACCTTTTCAAATGACCTATGGTGTTGAAGCAGTCATCCCTATAGAAATCTGAGAACCATCTTGAGAATGATCGATAACTTTAAGAAGAAAGTAAATATCTCATGGAGAAGTGTAACTTGATTGATGAAAGAAGAGCAACCACGCACCTATGAACCAAGACTTTCAGACAAGAGTCACCTTACGACACAACAGGATTGTCATACTATGATCATTCGAAGTCATCGAACTCATTCTCAAAAGGGTTAGAATAGGTTTGAAGAACGTCTCCAAAGGGAAATTGGCTCCTAATAGAGAATGCCCCTGACCAGGTGTCAAGTAACGTCAGGAAAGGAGCCTATAGTCTGGAGACATTCTACTGGAAAGGGGTACCAAGTACCAAGGCATTGAAACATCACAAAGCTTAGAAGATGTCATGGTTAAAATGCATCATCTATTGTAAGGTTGATGTACATTGTTCAGAACGTGCCTTTGAGATTCTGTCAGTGTAGTTTTAGTTTGAACAAATCAAATAAATTATTCTTCTGTTAGTGAATTAGCTAGTTTCCGATTTTATTTTCCCATTATCAATAGCAGTTCCTAAAATCGTGGAGTATAATCCTTCTTCTCAGTTATTTGGATGTATTAAAATATAAATCATATTCAATTAAATAAAATATGCTTCTGCAGTAGTAAAAAACTAAGTCACGTTGCCTTCTCTGCAAGTTCTCTCTTCTACTTTGCTTTATCTACAAATTAAAACAACATACACCAACAGAAAGTCCTTCTAATGAAGTTATAGTACTATACAAATGCAAGACTATGTGATGATCATATCGATAACTTCCTAAGACCAAAGGAAGAACATGACAAAGTTATGTGAAGAACATAACCTTTTAGGACTCAACAAATGGTTATGTGGAGAGCATTCATCTTAGGACCATGTGAAGAACGTAGCTTCCTACTTTCTAGAATTTGATAAAAGGTTATGTGAAGAACATAACACTCTGGGACCACATGAAAAACATGGCAAAGTTATGTAAAGGAAATGACTTTCAAAGATTTTCCTCAAGGCTATGTTAAGATAACCCAAAACCAGTAAGAAGAAAATGGTGGGTCACATAAGCAGAGTTATTGCTAAAGATTATACAAAAGATGCACGTGGAAGAGCATATTATCCTAGGACAACAAATGAAATGTGGAGAAATCTCTTAAAGGATAATGCTTCCTAGGATAATATAGCAAGTCTACCAAGAATATTGCTAGTTTACGAAGTTGTCTATTAAATACTTACGATTTTTCATAAGTTCATTTAATATTATTATTTAACACTATTATTTTTGTTTGAACATTTCATGGGGCTGTGCACAAGCATAATATCAAAGTATCACGCAGAAAAGGAAGATGAAGTACACATTGATTTATTATATAGTAAAGAGGGAGTTGTGTACATGAAAAAGAAATGTACAAATAATCCAAAGAAAATGCAAAGGAAATAAAGTTTCCTATGCAAAATTGCACCAACAGCCAACCCCATGTCATTGTGCCAGCTGCAACATCTACCATCTGATGTTTTGTCCTTGTAGAGTACCATGAGGCAGTCAGTTCTAATAAAAAGTTCTTGGGGGCACAAAACTACTTAAAGGGTTTGTACAAGTGTACAACCAGCTCACGTGGAGTCAAGGCTACGGAGCAAGGTGGGATGTCAAGATACAGTTACAATATGAGACTTGAGTCTCACAATCAAAGTATATATAAGTGTAGGTTTATAAGGCCTTGGCCTCTCCAACTACAACAACTAGCTTTTGTAGTATGGTTATCCTAAAATTATGATTAGAAAGCTTCATATTCCAAAATTAAGGAAACTACATCGGAACACAATTTACCTCTTCAGCAACTTTGGGTAAAAGTTGCAGCCATTTTTCCTCAAATTTTTCTAGTAAGGTCTTTGCCATAACATGGACATCATTTTTTTCATTGTTGTATTTCATTGCATTCTTGAATATCAACCTTACATCTGCGTATATCTCCCGGACATTGTTATATCCTGTGCCTTCCTTAGCTTCCATTTTACTTTTGATTGTACTAAAATCCATGGGCTTATCAATAACCTAGGGAAAGAAAATAAAGCAAATGAGTTTTAGCGATATAATCAAAGACAAGGAGCAAAAACATTATTGTTATAAAAAATAGATGGTCAATTAGTTAAACCAGCGTCACCACTTGCTGAGCAGAGACCAAATCAAGATTTAAACCTTTTTCAGTAAAGATTGGTCATGCATATTTGCTTATAGGTGGGACAAAAAAAAACTATAGGGTAAGTGAGAGAAAAACTTTAAAAACAAAAAAAAGGCACTACCTCATAATAGTCATGAAGCCCAAGACCTTCTACATCTACAGGATCCATGAATGGCCAAGCCCATTTATGCTGAGTTATCTGCAAAACTATAAAATGTATCATTATTGAGTTTTCAAAGGAACTTGGTAGGGTTAACAGAAAAGGGAGAATTCATTTTGACCATCACTGAACATGCTATTTCTAAAGCTTGTAATAGTATATTAAATCCAACCGAAATTAAGCCTTTCAGCAATGTCGTCACAATAAAAAACAGAACAAAAAAATTGAGTACGTAATATCCACATTTTGATACTATTTTTTAACTATAAATTGAAAATTGGAGATTTCTAAACAATGAATTAAGCATAGCTTTCTAAGAGAAAGTATGTGACCATAAAATGGAAGGAAAGAAGGCAAGATTGTGGAGGTAGTGCAACAGAGAAAATCCTAATTACAAGTAATTAGTCAAATACTCAGGTTTAGGCAAGCATATGGATGTTAAACAGGAGATATCAGCAAGCAGCATGACAGTTGTGTATGAGTGAACTAAAATTTAGTAAGGACAGCAGGAAAAATTCAATACAAGCCCCAACCAATAAGCAGGTCTAACTATAACTAATTAATGAAATTTGACCAATAAGAAGTTATTGCCCATGGAAGAAGGCAAAAAAATGCGGGCAATGCCTCTTAGCCACTCACTCAACAGCAACCATATATTTTCCCAATGACACCATAATGATATATCAAAAACTTGGTTGTTTAGTGTTCAACAGTAACAAAAAGATAAGGTGGTTGACATTAAAATAGGATTGAGTTCCCACATAATAATTTCAAGGTTTGACTTTTGTGATATTGAACATGTTCAGTACATTTTGGAAGGTCAGCTAAAGAATACCTTTTGTACAAAACGTTTTCTAACAGAAGACTACAGAAACCTCAAGTCCAATTCTTGATTTTAGCTAAAAGGAAATCCAAATATAAGGAGACTTGAGGGAAACTACATTCGTAAAGATTACTTAAAAAAATGTTACAAAAGATTTGCACTTGCCTGACGCAATATTGTGGAAAATTGGCGCATAAGCTCTTGCATTCTCTTTGCAGCAGAAGCTTCAATATGTGATGCATCTTGCAGTGGCTTTTTGGTGCCAGTAGGATGCTTCTCCCTGCCCTTCTCTTTTACAAGTGAGCCACCTTTAGAATTATTAGCTTGGACGTTATCAGTGGATTCATAGAACTGTTCAACCTCAGTCACTTGCTTCTCAAGCTGTACAAAGCACTAAGGATTATTTTTTTCAACTTGGAATTTCATAGTAAAAAACAAACGATAAGCCCACAACTTCATGGCAGCAAATTTGAACAGTACCAAACATTTAAATTAAACTGTTTAGTGTCTTTAGAGCATCAAACATTAATAAACATTAATAAAAATATATATATATATATATATATATATATATATATATAGAAAGTATGATGCAAAAAAAGGAACACCAACTTCTTCATAAATTTATGGTTCAGATTAGTAAAAATCGCAGCGAGAACAAAGCATACAACTATAGGTTATTTACAATTCAGATCTAGAAATAATTGTATAACAGATGAAAACAAAGTCATAATTCAAATTAGGTTAAGTGGTTGTGGTCTCATTACTAAGCCTGGCCAAGAAAAAGAAAAGAAAATCCCATTAAATGAAGGCCACTGCCACTAGCCATGAAAAGGCTACCTAATGGTCATTGAAAAACTTAGTTTAATAAAAATCACATTAAATCATAACAAAAGGGAAACAAGAAACTCCTCATAGAAAGAAGAGAGTAGTGTAGGGGATACCGCCAAAAGACTATATCTAGTTATCCCCCTTAACCATTACATGATCCAACTATTTTTTATTTATTTACGATGGTTATAACTTTCTCTTGATAAAAAAAAGAAATCCATTAGGAATATATTTTCAACAGATGCTTTATAAGATGATGATAAATATAGTACTTGATATACATCTTACATCATATCTTTCCATACCAGCATCGTGAAACAGAATGTTTGAGAGAACTGTCCCGTATTTTACTGCATTACATGTGCATTTGCAGAGGAGGTAATTGAGGACTAATTATACAACTGTAGTTAATTAATATTCTAATAAATACTAGTGAACCTAGATCCGGACAAGGTTTACTTTGAGCCCTAAGTCAACTCAGAATTCCCCGAAATTTCACAGGATCAAATCATCACCTACTACTTTTCCATTGATAAACTTGCTACGGTAAGCAGGGGCATAGGGAATGCGGTGACTTATCGGTTCCATGATCACTTCCACATTTTAAACTTTTCTAATTATAGTTAAATAAAAAAATTATGGCACCCCACCATGTTATTATTTACGTAAATTTATTAATAGCTTTTGATTGTTAAAAGATTTACCCCTAGAGGTGCTCTTACAAAAAAAAAGAAAATCCTAATATATTTTTCAACTTTGTTAATTTAAATAGACTTCATTGAGGGAATGACGAGGTAGTATACATCCAAATGCCTATTGTGTTAGCTTTTCATGGCTTCTTCCACCCCAGGAGAAGAAACAGATTCAATTTATAGGTTGTTTTGCTTTTTGGTTGCCCATTTGTGGGCTTCCGTCTGATTGAGTATATAAAAACTAAGAGAACAACAATAAGAAAAATAAAATAAAATTCTTCATAAATTAAACAAGTTTATAATCTATAGACAAGTTAAAACTCTGATTTTAAAAAGGCTAATATGAAAAAGAGTTTACAAATTAGTTTATGCATGGGCTAAATTAGCTAATGATAAAACTAATTTTAATTTAAGAAAAAACCTATTTACTTTTTCCTAATTATTTTCTTCTACCAGAAGTCCATGCAAACATGTCCTTATCCTCCTTTGTTTTTTTTTCCCCTCTGCTTTGTTCTGTCACATAGCAAGTGTAGGCTTCACTATGAAATCTGTACTGATCAATTTCACCCTATGAAACAAGTAGAAGCAACTAAATTTGTTGCATAAACTAGGCAAAAGTTAGTCATTTTTCTTCAGTGGCACCCCCTTCAACTAAAACCCTGATGGTAAACTACAACTAGCAAACAATACAAGAAACAACAACTAACAAACAAGACAATAAACAACAACTAACAAACAAGACAAGAAACAACAAGAAGAATTTATTAAATTTCATTTCCAGTTAAGGTTCTAGGGTGAGCTAATTCATGCAGGGAGTCCAAAGAGGAAAATGAACACTGACCAAAACAAAAAAACCGTTGAAAAGTGTTAGGAAAAAGAAATTGAGTACCTTGTTGACCCTGGTAAGAATTTGATGGACAGAAGCCCTGAAAACTTCCAAATAATCATCAGGTTTAGGGTGTGACAGAGAAGGATCGGCATCCATCACAAAAACTGTTGGAGACAAAGTTGCTGCCTAAGCTCGAATTGCGTGCCTGTCTTCCCGACAAAGTTTTCCCTTTGATTTGGGTTTTGGTTCTCTTCTCTCATTCTTCTTCGCGTTCTTTCTTCTATTCAACCACTCATTTCTTATTTATGATATTAATTTCTATTAATTGTATTTATTTATCATTTATCATTGTCATTTCATGAATTAACTTTTATTTCTTTATTTAAATTATATAAATTTTATTCCGCTATTAATTTAATTTAATAGTGCTGTAATATTTTTATTTCAATATCATGTTCTCATGTTTTAATTTTTTTTTTTACATTTTAGAAGTAATTCTTTAATAAATTCACAAAACTAGCAAAATTGAAGAGAAAAAACTAAAAGTTAATGGATTTTTATTTGAAAACGTTAACTTTAAATGGTGATCGTTTACTTCCTAATTTATCTTTACCAAATCGTATTTTTAATAATAGTCTCAAATTTCGCATTTTTTTATTTTTAATTTTTTAAAGAACTGATTTGTTAAAAATAAACTTTGAATTAAAAAAAAACAGTGTTTACTTATATGACTTTAGTAAACAAATTAATAAAGTGTTCATTAATAAATACACTTTAAAATTAAAAAAAGGTAAAATCTTAAACACAACTTCAAATGTCATCATATCTTGCCAATTAATCTAATTAGATTGGTATTGTTTAATTTTTGTGAAGAATATTTCTGTAAAAACACTTTCTTCTCAAAAAGAATGATATAAGAACATATTTAATAATATTTACTTATTGAAATATTGAAGTAGACTATTATTTATTTAAAACAATATTTTATATATTAAATGATGTACTAATTTGTTTTAAAATAGTACAATATGTATGATTTATTTTATTTTATTCAAATAGAATTTATTCTTAATCTTTATTTATTTTATTTTATTCATTTTTATAAATTTTTTTCTAAAACAATTATAAAAATTTTAAATATTTTATAATATCATATAAAATTTCTCTAATAAAAAATTATTTTTAATAATTAGTACGTTAAATAACCATTTTAATGAGAAATTCTTATTAAAAATATTCTTAATTATTTCGTAACAACTTAAAAAAATAAAAAACAATAAAATTGAATAAAAATAGTTAATAATTTTTTAAAATTAATAAAAAAAACTATTAAAACAAAATGAATTGGAAAATGCTTAAATATGACTTATGCATATCTTATAATTTTTTTTAAGAAACAACTTAAACAAGTTAGATTATTTGTTCATATATTTTAAGAAATAAATATTTAATATTATTTTAAATTAAATAAAGCGATCACAATAAGTTAAAAATATCATATTAATTATTATATTTTCTAATTACGCATTTCTCATTAACATACAGAATTTTTTATTTTAAGAATATAGTTTTATTATATATGCCATGTTATTATGGAATATATCAATTTTCAAGAAGAAAATATTATTTAATTTCAGAAAATTTTAATATATATATATATATATATATATATAAGCATAAATTTTAATACAAAAAATAAAAATAAAAATTTTAAGATTTATGACTGTGACAGTGTTATGATCTTTACTGCCAAATTCATCACCAAACAAAAATATGAATTTAAAATTATTATTTTAGTTAAAATCATACACAGAATTTTTCCCATAATATTATGACATTGTTATAGTCGAGTTATTCTATGAATCAGGTATTTGTTCAGACCAATGTAAATTCGCATGGGCGGCCTCAACAGAATATAGCTATTTATTCATTTTTTAAATTGCAATGTTGTTAACCCTTCTCCAAATAATGATAGAGAAGTATGTTGGGTAATTAAAAAAAGTATACATAAAATCCATTTAGTAATTACAAGCTTATTCAATTATGATTTTAAGTATTAAAAAATATTTCTCTGAAAATCACTTTGCTAATAATATCTATTATCTAGGTAAAATCGTGTTACTTCAAATCAATTGCATCAAAATCACGTTGATCTAAAATAAATTCTATAAACATAGAGCCAAGCACACACTTTGTCTGTCATAAGATTTTTATTTATTTTGATATATTAATACACAATGCCCATATAAACAGCGCAAGATATAGAGAGATGACAGTGTGACTTCAGACTCAGACATGGCCTCCATCTGCCTGTGGCTGATATGTTCGACGCCTAAGCTGAGAATCAGAATTGGGTTGTTGCAGAAATATTTTCGTCGGATCATTAGGATCAACATACCTGCATATAATTTCATTTACAGTTATGAAGCTTATAGATTATAAATCATACACTCTACAAGCTCCACTAAAAACAATACCTGCATAATGTTTGCAATAGTATGTAGTTTTTGGATTATAAATCATACGGTTAGCTTAAAAATTTAAAGTAAAATCATTCACTTACGCATGTCTCATCATCTCATCAACAGGTGTCTGAGCTGCCTGCAAAGGATCCACATAAGATTGTGCCTGCATAGTGGCGTGTTGATTATACTGCCTCACTGAAGCAATCAAATTGAAGAAAAGGGGAATGAAGGTTCCACAGCCCCCCTCTTTGAATAAGATCTTAAACGAGTGCGTGGAGTAAAGAGCTCGGTGTTGGTCACTTGGGACTACCTGTAGCAATTCAAAAGTTCAGGTTTTAGGACCCATAGTTTTGGTACAACAAAAAACAACAAAAAGGATAGGAGTCAGACCCTGTAGCAAAGTTTACACTATTTACTTACAGGCTCAACTTGTCCAGAAAGATTGTTGCAGTGAAATATTGGCTGGTTAAATTTTTCACCATGGATGTAAAGCTGCATAATTATTGAAGAACGAAGGATAAACTCAAAATACATGGCATGAGCATGTTTTAAATTAATATATATTTTGCCAATCTACAAACCAAAACACAAAAATACAATGATGAGTAACATATATACATGTTACCCCGATTTTCTAATCTTATCCCCCTTTAAAATAAAATTGACTGTTCTGAAGTTTGATTTTAAGTGAAAACATCACTTTTCCAATTAAATCAAATGGAGATACTTACTCAAATTTAATGAAAATAACTTAAAATCCAACTTCAAGCAGTTAACCCATAACGAAAAAAGAGTTATCCCAAATTCCATGGCATTGTATTTTGGGGATGTTTGAAAGAACTTGTGTAGAACTAATGTAACAATAAGCTTCCTGATGTAGCTCATTAAGATAAGTTATTTTAACTTATTCCAATAAGTTTCATGGTCAAATTTCTATTATAAATTCCTCATATAATAAAAACTTACAAAATAAACACTTAATTAAGCTCTTTATCCAAAAGTCACCTTTATCCAAAATACAATTGCAGCAAGAAAGATGCACAAAGAAACGCACGCTCACAACTAAAAACATAGCAGATAGCTAATAACTTCATAACTATGTTTTCATTTCGAAGTAGGGAAGAAACAGTAATGATTGGCAGTACATTCCTATTAAGAAGGTATATGTAAAAAAGGAATAAGCAAATAGGTCTTGGGGAAATTGGGGTTGGGCCTGATATTGTAACTAATAGCCAAAATTGGTTAGTTAATTAGTTAGATGGGGGCAGGGAATAAAAAGGGAAATTGTACAGGGAATGGGGGTAATCAGAAAAAATTAGTGGACAAGTGGGACTGTATAGGTCTCTCGAATACACTTGTTTCAACTGTATAATTTTCATTTCCCGAATGAACAAGTCTCTGTTTTCTTCAAGTTGTTTTCTCTCTGATCCTCTCTCTCTCTATTAAATTATGGTCGCATGCCACCTATGCTAATATACATTAACTTCAAAAAAGAAATTAAGAATAACAATTATTTGCACATTAGGTTAATGTGAAACTTAATAACTATCACGTATCATGTCCCAACGAATCTGACAGACTAACATCATAAAATCTACATTCTTAGTTTTCATCTTGTTAGGACAAGCCACGCAATGACAATTGAATATTAGCAAAGAACCAACAGGCCTTAAACAGCAAAAGAAGGTGTAACACATACCAAAGGCATATCAAAAGCTGCAAAGTGCCCAACTGGACTTTTGGCAACGAAGACCATCCGAATATTTGACAAATAGACGATTCCTTTGGTTTTGACACGACCCCCATGACTTCTGTCCAAAACAAATAACAAAAACACGATTATATCCAACACAAAATACATACAAATCAGATAAATGGAACAACTTCAATATTGATTTAACCTAGAAAATACAAAACAAAAGATGTTTGACATATCCCAATTAAAATAATAACCATACTTTCATTCGGACCTAAAGGTCTCTCAGCTACAAAATAAAATATGCAAATAATTTCATATGTTCAAAATACCCTGTGAGTAGAAACTTGACCTAACACATACTAGCATAAAAAGAAGAAATATGAATGTCCGATATTCATCTATTTGTGGCTCTAATTTTTCATTTTCGCTATCTTGAAATTAAGCGACTATCCCAGATGTTCCTTTCCCCAAGAAAATTGAAAAGAATGAGCATCAATCTGAAAGAGAAGTAACATATAAATAAAAAAAAATGGAAAATGGAGGAAAAGGTGAGTGGCAAACCCAGAAGCAGGAATCTTATCGATTTCGAATTCGACGCCGTCTCTGGCCAACACAAACATCTCGCTGATGAAAGCAACGGGCATTCCATTTGGAAAGAGTTGAGGATTCAACGCCATATTCTCTCTCACAGATCCAAATTCCAACCTTCAATTCTCTCTCTGTCTTTGTCTCTCTAGAATAGAAACAACCTGCACGCGGGTCTTTCCAGATTTCTCCTCTACCCGCGTGGATCTTCTCTCTCTATATATATTATTATATAGAATGTTTATTATCTCAGAATTTTCACAAATTTTTCTTTCTCTCTTATATTTTTAATCACTTTATTCTTTTAATTTTTAAAAATATATATTTTAATCATTTAATAATTAAACTTAATATTTAATTATGTTTCACTTTAATTATATTTCAAAAAATATATAATTTTGATACTTAAGTTTAATATTTTATCATTATAAAATTAATTAAAAATTAAATTTAAGAAAATAAACACCATAAATATAAAAACATATATATATATATATATATATATTTTCTTTGTATTATTTTAAAAAATTAATAATTATTCTTAAAATTTAAAAAATATAAATTTTATCATTTAATCAATTTTGTAACAGTAAAAAATTGTTACTAAATATTAAATGTAAATATAAAAATAATCAAATCAAATTATTAAAAAATATAGTTACAGTAAATTTATATAGAAAGATTAGAAACATATGTATTCAAAAAGTTTAAAGATCGGATTATCAATTTAAAAATGTAATGATAAAAAAATCATGAAAAAAAATAATCAAAAATATATTTCTCCAACATATTTAATACAATAATAATAATAATAATAATAATAATAATAATAATAATAATAATATTAGTAGCAGTATATCATCTTAGTTTCATTAATTTAATATATTTCTATCATTTATTTAAGTGAATTTGAATTTAATATTTTATTTTAATTAAGTATATTGTATAACGAAATTGAAAATACAAAATTTAATTTGTTGAAAAACAACTATTATCAAAACTTAAAGAGAAACAAATGTAAAATTTATCACGTTGTCATCTAAATTTTTATTGCTATAATATAATAATATGAAATGTTGAGTATGTATTTATATTTTTACTAAATATGATAGTTTTTTTTTATCATTTAACGTATTAAGAATATTTTTTCTATTTTTAATTTTTTTACAGTAATAATTAATAATAAAATTTGTATTGTAATTTAAATGTTATAAAAGAAAAATAATATATATATATATATATACACATCAAATTAAAAATTCTCCATTATATAATTTTATCATTACGATTGTATACTATTATATTATTTTTTATTTTCATGTTTTATTTATTTTTACATGCTTGTATTGTTTTTTTTTTCGTAACTTAGTCTAATTTTATTTATAAAATTTAATATATGTATTTTTCAGATATATTCTTTCCTATAGCTTTTTTTCTACAATTTTTAATAGTTTTTCAAGTATTAAATAATAGGGTGGATTATATTAGAGAGGTGCATTGGATTGAAATTTTCAAAAACTATTTTGTACATTAAAAAAAAAGTTATGATCAAGTTTTCATAGATTAGGGTTTTACATTAAAAAAAAAAAAAAAGGAGAGTTGAAGATCATAATTAATAAAATTATTTAAAAAAAAATCGGTAAGCTTATAAATTTTAAAATTTCGTTGCCACATCGTTATTTGTAATGTTTAGTTAAAAATGTTTAATTTTTCTTATATGTAAATATGTTTTGATTATATTCTTGATTTTTATTTAAATATAGTTAAAAATTATATATATTTTCATATTTATCAAATAAATTTAAAATTTTATTAGTCGGCACTCTATTAGTAAAGCTGAGTTTTTCTCCGTTAGTATTTGTTTGTAATCAAAATATTTAAATATTTTTTTTATTTAAAATTTAAATAACTAATATTATGCATATTATTTTTCATACTCTTTATTTTTTTAATCAATTCAAGTATCAAACTCTTAGTCGTATTTTATGAACACAAGATTCGTTAAAAAAAAAAGTTAGATTTGTGGTGAAGATTACAATATTGAATAACAGAGAAGCAAAAGCATATATATACATTAAATTATGTTATTTTCCTCCTTTCAACCAAAGAACTCGATACAATTTCTCACAATGAGCAACCAATACAAAACCCGTTGAGACATTAGATTTGATATTTATGGTACTTCCTTCGGTTGAAGGATTATGTTCACTTGGTTGGATGTGTTTTCTTCTTTGCAAAGAACATGACAACCTTTGATGGAAATAATGATTTCTTCTTCTTCTTCTTTTTGCTCTTTTCTGAGGCTGATCCAGTTTCAGTGTTAGTTGAAGGAACTGTTTCCGTTGGGTTTGATGACTCATGCTCAGGCTCAATTGCAGCAGCAATTTGGTCATTCACTTCATTGGCCTTCTCTTGTAGCTCTTGTTCAACCCTACAAGTTCTTAGTTCATCTTCTACAGCTAACTTTCCTTCAGTGGCCTTTTCAGCATTCCCAGTTGCAATATTCAAAGTTTCCTTCCTTATTGACAACTCCTCATTCAATTCTTCTAACTTCTCCAAGCTTTTAAATTCAGACTCCCTTGCTATCTTAATCCGAGAATTAGCAGCTTCAATCCTAGTATTGGCTTCCTCCTCAGCCTGATAGGATCTCCTGCTGAGCTCATGGTATTCATCTAGTGTGAGTGTCATCATTGTGGAAAAGTTATTCTCATTGTCGCCTTTAATTGATTCACTCTTCTCCAATGCTGTGATTGCATTTCTGGCCAACATCTCAGCAACCTTGGCTGCTTCAATCTCCTTCTGTGCTGCCAATAAACTACTTTCTAATGTAGCTGCTCTGGCCCTGACTTCTTCAAATTCTTCTTGTGCTTCCAGCAGCTCTGCTTGAGCAGCCTGAGCAAGTGATTTGGCCTCATCAGCCTCTTCTGTGGCTTTCTGCAGTTTCTTGGGCAGCTCAATCATCATCTCTCTTGCTTCATTCTCTTTCATCTCACTGAAAATTGCGGCAGTCTTGGACTTCTCCAGTTCAGTTTGGAGATTCACAGCCGAAGCCGAAGCCATTTCCTCACGTTGCTTAAGGACAGCAAGATCTGACTTCTCTTCTTCTAATTTTGCTTTTAGTGACATAGAAGCCTCCCTCAAGCTGTTAACATCAGAAGTTGCTTTCTCTATGTTCTTCTTTAGTTCCTCAAGTTCCTCAATCTGTTCTTTGTAAAATTCGTCTTTTACCTTTGATTCCATATATGTTGCCATGTCAGCTTTCAATTCAAGTAGTAAAGAGGAAGCTGTTTCCAATTTAGATTTAAGATCCCTGACTGATAAAATTTGCTCATTTAGTCTTTGGATCTCCTCTTCTGCTTGCTCAACTTCCATCTTCAAATTGTGAGTCTCTTCAACAATGACTCCTAATCCTCGTTGTTCTGCTTCCAAGTGTGCGGCTCGTGAGGAGTATAGTGCCTCTTGTGTCGCAATCAACTCAGCAGTCAAATCTGCCACTTCCTTTTCAATCTGCTTGGATGCTGCAACAGTCTCTTCTGCATTGTTGATTGCTGTATCTCTTCCACTCGCCATAGAAGCATACTGCTTACGCAGTGAATCCAGTTCCTTTTTAGTGAACTCTAATTCTGAAAGCGCTTCAGTATGCTTGGCTTTTTGAGCCTCAAGTTCAGCCTTGGCTTCAATACTAGCTTCACTTACAAGGTCCTGCTCCACCTCTTCAATTTTGAGAAACACGCGTTCAGCCTCTTGTTTTGCTTGAAGCTCATATTTTTCTACCTTTTCTAACTTAATTCTGAGTTCTTGTGTAAGCTTCTTGGTGTTTTCCAACTCCTCAATTGTTTCTTCCATTCTAAAATCTTCTACAATCTTGCTTCTCTGTTAAGTCAGAAAAATAAAAGGTTAAACTAGTCGTTTATGCATACCCAAAGCAATGAGAATCAAGTAGGCTATAGAATCAGTTGTTAGTCCACTTTATAATTGTAAATGCATCTTTTATCTACAATGTTTAACTGTCCTTACCATGAAAAACTGCTAGTGTTTCAAACCTTCAAATTATGAAGGGACTACTAGGCATAACTCTGAAGTTATGACTTGGGTCAATGAAGAAATATTCTTAGCATTGTGATCAATTATTAGATATTGTTCTAAAGTTACGACCTTCATCAGTGGAGAAACAAACATGTCCATCATTTAGGCACCCATTTGAAAACCAGGACCTGTTTTGTATGTTCATAAGCCATCAACACCATCAACCGTAATTTGATCATCTATGAACATGTTTTTAATTTAGTAATTTTCTATATTTCCCTACACAAGGTATTTGCAAATGGTGCTTCATAGAAACTCAAAACCATAAAGAAAATGTAAGGTATAAATATAATTCAAACAGTTATATACCTCATCCAACAGACTCTGGGTTCGACGAGATCTCCAATCAATTCTTCCTCCAAATTTGGACGCAGCATCTTTGACAGATTCAAAAGGCACAGCTGTGTCAATGATATGCTTAGATTTAGGAGAAGCTCCTGGAGAATAATGTATTCCCTGAGAGGAAACATTTGGTGAAGTTTCATCAGTATTAGTGTTATATATCTTGTGATTGATTGGTGTCAGTAATATCGGCTTTCACTCCTACCAAGTAAAAGCCATTATTTGGTGCGTTCATAGATTGAGTAATTAATTACCGTAGGGGATTCTGGATGTGGTTCCATGGAGGATTTTGAAAGTGGGCCCACTTCAATATTTTTCACAGGGTCTGTCACCATAATGCCTGAAATTCAAGTGATAAAATAAAGAGCATTCACAGAACACTCTCAAAGATTTCATCTTTTGATTTTACAGATTATTGCTCAGCAACAAATGCTTGTGATTCTCTTAGAATGTGTAGCCGGATACAATTCTCCTGTATTAACTTTTTATGTTTGTTAGCCAATTGAAAACTTGGATAATGAAAATGAACATATCGTTTTATGCCTTAATTAAAGCGCCAAAGTCACGAATCACATGAGCAAAACCCAGAAAAACCAAATAGAAATTCAGGAAATTTAGAAAGTGCAACCTCAAATGCAGTTTATCATCTTGATAAAAAAAACTGACATAGATTATCATCATAGCAACAACATTTTCTTGAAAGTGCTATGCCCTTCAAAACCAACTCAAGCAAATTTTCCATTTCTCCTTATCTCTTCCACCCTTTTCTCAAATATTTGCAAGATTAGATTTTACCGGTTTATATCACCATTTTCCCATATCCGCAAGCATACAATAACAGATAGTGAAAAATGAAACAAAACCATATACGTAGACACGTGAACAAAAGCATTAAAAACAACATAATAACGAAGAAGAATAAGAAACCAAAAACAAAAAGAGATTGAAACCTGGATGAGAGAGCCCGGAAAACTAAGATGAAATACTAAGCGGGAGAATAGAAAGAATGGAAAAAAACAAAGAAAAGGCAAAGCTAACGTGTTATTGTTATGGATTGAATATTGGAGCAAGAAGAAGGAAGACGAAGGTGGTGGTCCTATGATAGGGTGGAAGGAGGAAAATGGTGAGAGGCGATGAAGGAGGAAGGAACAGATCCCAACTGTTTACCGCTTCCTCCTTGAGTTTCCAATTCATGCAATCTCCCCATAAACCACCTCATCCAGCACAAATCATTTATAATCCAACACGTGTTGGATCACCATTTGTTCCTTCTCCTCCACACAATCAAATACTATCAAATATGAGGATGATAATCATGCTATTGCTCACTGGACACCAATATTACTACGTTGGACCCTCCTAAACCTCTGATGTATGTGTGTGTGTGTGTGTTTTTTTTTCTTTTATGTTAAAAATCTAAGATATGTATCTGCTAAGAAAACAGTTTTCATACGAGAGTAAGAAATAAATTCGTCCCAAACAATTATGTATGCTATATCTTTCTTTTTGCTTTAATAAAAGTTAAAGTTTTCTTAAAATAGAATGATTATCGGAAAAAGGTTCAAAGAAATTTTAGATAAACTAATGACCTTTTTGTTGAAAGTAGAAGAAAAAATAGTAATTACTGCAGTGCAGACTTAATTTTTAAGTAAATATAGACTTTTAAAAATGTATACTTTATAATAAGAATATTATTAAGTTCCATTATCACATAAGATATATTATCCATTTTAAGATTTTAGAGTTTTGTTTTTAAATGTCGTGTATATTAATTACTCCTTGAAATTTGATCTGGGGGTGGTCTATGTTTAATCCATCAAATCAACCTTTCCTCACTAAGAGAGCAGCAGTAGCTGTACTCTATCTTGTAAAAGAAGGTCTTGGCTTGGTTTGCAAACAGACACACAGGAAGAGAGATAACATGCATGCATGCAGAGATAGATAAGACAGCTAACCTCTACATACGTGTGAAAAGTTTTTGAGAAAGATATAATTTAACAAGAAGATGATGATGATGATGATGATGATGATGATGGCATTGGCAAGAAACAAAGCACGAACCAAACCTGTGTTAGAGCTGAAGATCCATGAAAGACGGTAATCGAAGACTTAAAGAAGAAAGCACTAAAATTTATGTATGTAGAAATGAATCCTGTCAAAGTGGAGGAGATATGATTGTGGCGATGAAGAAGGAACAGCTCTTAACCTTCTCGTTCTTTGTGCTTTCAACTCATGCAACATCCCAAAAATCTGGCACCTCGACCAAATCAAAATTATATTTGTCCTCCTCGTTTATTATATATATAATTGGCTCATTACAGTTCTCATCATATCTTATTTTCAAGCAAAATGTTTATAGTAGATAAAAGAACTACATAGAAGAGACAAAATATTAAAGTGTTCGAAGAAAATGAATTATTTCAAAACTTTGTAAAAAACTGTTTAACTTAGACATTGTACATAAGGAGGTTTGGTTAGTTACTTACAAGGGAAAGATAAAAAAAAAAAAAACATATGTATACTTTAGAGATTTGATAAAAGAATACTTGTAACAACTTGAAACTTTGTTTCCAGTAACATTTTTTGTAGTGAAATTTTTTATGGACTACTAGTTACTGAACTTAGAAGTACCTATGTGAAGTAGTATATTCAGTTAATATCTATATCTACGGACCTTGTTCCCCATTTAGTGACGTTATGAGCTAAACTAGTGCATGGGGGCAATGGCCAATAATAATGGAGGATAGTTGATTCTATTAACGCTTAGCATTAGTCGAAAGGAAAGCAGAATGAACCATTTGACACAAGATGAACTGAACAGTGTTTATTATTTTTATGTTTCCTAGTTATGTTTTATGATTATAGGTCGAGCCGATCAAGATCAGATTGGTTTCCTTAAATACGTGCAAGACCGTAGATGTAGTAGAACCAAAGCTGCACAATGCGAAGACAACACATAAGATGACATAACCTGAGTTGCACCAAGGCTTTAAAAAATTAAAAAGTCAAGCTTAGCAAAGGACTTATTTTATTGTAATTAAAAGTAATAAATTTGAATTTTTAATTCTGAAAGTTTAGTATATTCATTCCACATCCCGTATTATACAATTTTTCATATTTTTAAAGTTGAGAACTCTCCAATAAAAAATATGAACTCCAACATAGATAATTACCACAATATAAATAAATAATAAATAAATGGATTATTGTTTTCTATACAATTGACACAATGGCGTTACTGAATACATGGTTCATAATTTGCCCTATACATTTCTGTGCAGCCATCAGATAAGCACTGTGAATTGAAAGAAATGAATAGCACCAGGTTGTGGTGACATAAATGACAATTTTCAGCCAACAATTGCAAGCAAGCTTTGTCTGACAGCTGGAATCGAACAAAGTATAGAACCAAATATACCATTCAGAGCATAAGCAATGGCACAAAATGGGAGAGCCTCGGGTTCCTTGGCAGACAAAGCTGCTGTTCCAAGCCCGTGAGCGCTGTAAATTTAGTCAAGAGCATGTAAATAACCATGCGTTAAGAAAATGTTGTCCAACTATTATTGCATGTTTGGTATAGATAATTTGTTGAGAAATAATCGCCTAGTTTTCAAAAACTCCCTCATGAAGGTGGCAAAAATAAGCAATTGTTTCTTCATAATAAGTTGAAGCCAACAATGGGAATCATAAAAAGTCCCCACCCTGTTAATCAGATTACGGAACAGAAAGAATAATGTTCGTAAACTGTAACTTGTGGTGGTAATGGAAGTGTGAAAGATTTCGGTTTAAGTGAAATATCTACTGATTACTGAATATACCTAGAAGCAGTTGCAATTCCCCGAGCTATTGGATCACGAAAACTGAGTCTATCGAGGGTTGCTTGCACAAAATTTGCTCCAACCAGACCAGTTAATACAACCACAGCTGCTGTGAGCGATGAATTGGCACCTGCAAACAGATAAATTTTCAAAGATAGAACTATGTAGAAGCCAACAATTTAATTTTTTTAGCATCCCTTTCACTGTGAATGTATTCTTTAAACAAATTATGACTGCATGATCCTGGATTACTCCACAACTCTAATCAAGTTCCAGAGTAGACAAGGATAAATGCTTACAATATGGGCATAATATTTACCGTCAAACAAGGATACAATACTGAGGGCCAATGCCACTGTGATACATCTGGGTAGGATGGATACAGTTAAAGATGGTTCTAATTGAACAAGACGTCCAACAAGGGCAGTTGAATACAGTGAGAATACTGATGAGATGATGACAGAGGTGAAGATCTCAGCTGCGTGTCTTTTCACAAGCTGAAGAAGATGGAAAAATCTGTAGTTAATGATAAAATGATTTCACCATCATATCTTTAAGATGCAGAAAAAATGTTGCAAAGCAAGTTTTGTATTTGGGTATAAATCATGCCAACGGGTGCCAATTGGAACATTATGTGTACAAGGGTAAATGATATGTTCTTAGATCACAGCTCTATTGCTCTTCAATTTTGAATTCATACACATTCACGTGAAATCAAATTCCATATAAGCCAATGACTATTCCATTCACCTTTCACACGTCTTAGCTAACCTAGCAAGAATTTGAGGAAACAAAAAAGATAATAGTATGTTTATAGTAGTATAACCAAGTTAAATTACCTATGTAGACAAAAAAAAAAAAGTTAGAATCAAGACATCTTAGGGGAGAATTTACCATAGGTAGGTACTTAAAAACTTTTGCAAACCACCCGCAACCCTCTTCGTAAACCCATCCATGGTGGCTTAAAAGCATCGAAACAAGATAATACAATATTTATTAAGTACTTTTACTCAACTTTATAAATGCTAGTCAAATTATTCAAAATAAAATTACCAATCCACACTTCTAATTTTAAGGCTGGCAAGGGTTAATGTGCAAAATAATTTGACATCAAGTACTAGTATACTCACTTATTGAACTATATTACTGTAAATCATTAGCTACTCAGAAATAACATATTAAACAATGCCCATGTACAAGTTTGATTGCAAATTGGTTGTTGAAGTATTTATTAGATTAGTGGTATCTTGTTGGGCATTTATGAGATTAGTTGTAGACCTAGTTCCTAGAATGCAATTGTTTATCTTCTCTAGGACTAATCATTTCTCTCTATTAATTGTATCTCTGAATCTGTACTTTTATCTTCTATAAATAAGAGAACACAAGAGAATGATTTCAGGCTCTCAAAATCAGTTCTTTATTTTTCTTTTTCTATTTCAAGTTGGTATCAGAGCGCGTTCATCCTACTCTGCCTGTCTCTTCTTTTTGTTCTGGCATTAGCTACTGCTCACCGCCGTCCGCCGCCTTTCGCCGCCGCAATATTTCTCCAGCGCCATTTATCTCTCTGACACTTGGGTTAGGCTCGCCTCGAGGAGCGCGACCCAACCCTAGTGATCGCTTCCTTCGTCTTTGCCTCACGCGCCACTTTCGTCCGCGCGTGAGGCTCACGCGCCGCCCTCCAGGTGGCTGTTTTGCTCCAGACCACCTCTATCCGGCTCGCCTTGTCGCCCTGGAGCCAGATCTGCACTTTGTTTTGTGTTCTCTGTCACAAAACGTTGGTGGGTCTGCGTTCTTCTCTCTGCCTCTCTCGGTCCTCTCTCTGCTTCCATAGACAGCACGTTGGTCCTCTCTTGTTTCCTGGAAAATGTCAGGACCTGTGTTTCTATCTTTTTCTGGGACAAAATTAAATGGGAAAATTTATTTGTCTTGGGCTTCCTCTGTTGAGCTCTGGTTTCTAGATCAAGGAGTTCATGATCATCTAGAAGAAGATGGAAGTACTAAACCAGCAGATCAGGCTCCTCAATAGAAGAAACTGGATTATCAACTTTGTGCACTATTATGGCAATCTGTTGAACAAAATATTTTGAGCACTCTTCGATCCTTCAAGACATGTAATTCCTTTTGGAAAAAGACCCAAAATATCTTTGCTAATGATATTCAACGACTCTGATTCTGCTAATAGATTAGCCTCCCTTAAGCAAGAGGATAATTCCATGATGTCCTTTGTTGCTGAAGCTCAATCAGCAGTTGAAGAATTAAAAATGTTCCTGGAGGCAGAATCATTAGAGGAAAGAAAGTCAAAGCTGGATAAATTCTATATGGTAATGATTCTTAGGACTATGAATCCAGAGTTTAATCATGTTAGAGACCAGATTCTAACTGGAGAAAAAGTTCCTTCTACGGAGAGTTTAATCACAAGGCTACTTCGTGTTCCTTCTATCAAAACAAAAACAATCAAGAACTTGCTGATTCTTCCGCCATGATTTCTGCTCATGGAAGAGGTAATCACAGCACTAGAGGACGTGGTGGGAAAGGACGTCCTCAGTGCTCTCATTGCAAAAGAATTGGACATACTAAGGAAAATTTCTTTGCTCTGCACGGCTTTCCTGATAAGGCAGCTAATACCTCAAAATCTGAAGCTGATGAGCCCAAGTTCTCTCATGAAGAGTATAAAGAATATTTAAGAATGAAATCAACCAATTTGGCTCAAGCATCTACAACACCAAATTCGTCAACCGCTTGCATTTCGCAATATGTGGAAAGTCAAAATCCGTGGATTATTGACTCAGGTGCTTCTGACCACATGTTTGGTAATACCTCTTTATTCTCCTCTCTTTCATTTCCTAAAACCTCCCATCTCATATCTTTAGCTAATGGATCTATAGTAGCCTCTAAAGGAATTGGTCAAGTATCCATCTCTTCTTTTTTAAACCTTCAAAATGTTATTTGTGTTCCTTCTTTTCCATTCAGTCTTGTTTCTGTAAGTCAATTAACCAAATCATTGAATTGCTCAGTAACCTTTAATGCCAATTGTTTTGTTATCCAGGAACGTGGTACGAGTCGACTGATTGGAGGACATGAATCTGGAGGCTTATACTACCTTAGGACTAAGTCATCTGTATCTTGTGTTGCATCCTTATCCCCAAAACTGTTACAAGAGCGATTAGGGCATCCTCATTTAGCAAAATTGAAAAAAATGATTCCTGAACTTCAGAACCTTCAAACTTTTGAATGTGAATCTTGTCAACTAGGGAAACATACTAGGTCATCATTTCCAAATCATTCTGAATCTAGATGCGATTCTGCTTTTAGTATTGTTCATTCAGATATATGGGGACCTAATCGTGTTTCATCTTTTGGTTTTAGATATTTTGTTACTTTTATTGATGGGTTTTCTAGATGTACTTGGGTTTATCTTATGAAAGATCGTTCTAAACTATTGCCTATCTTTAAGTCTTTCCTTAATGAAGTCAAAACTCAATTTGGAAAAGTAATCAAAATTTTACAAAGTGATAATGCCAAAGAGTACTTTTCTAATGATTTTTCTAATGTCCTAAATTCTCAAGGCATTTTACACCAGTCCACGTGTCCTCACACACCACAGCAAAATGGTATAGCAGAACGAAAAAATAGACATTTGGTTGAAAATGCACGTACCTTATTGCTTGGTGCCAGTATGCCTATTCATCATTGGGGAGATGCTATTCTAAGTGCATGCTTTCTCATTAATAAAATGTCATCTTCTTCTCTTGACAATAAAGTTCCACTCTATTCTATTTCCAAAGGAACTAATTTTTCATGTTTCTCCTAGGGTATTTGGATGTATATGTTTTGTTCATGATATGTCTCCTAGCTTAGATAAACTCTCACCTAGAGCTATCAAATGTGTCTTCTTGGAGTATTCTCGTCTTCAAAAAGGATATCGGTTTCTCCTGAAACCAAGAGGTACTACATGTCTGCTAATTTTTTTGAATAATCCTCCTTCTTCCCTTATTCTATGTAGGATATTGATTCTATCCAAAATGTTTTTCCTATCTCCTTAGTTGAATCATTTGTACCTCCTATTCCAGACACCCCAAATCCCAACCAAAATACTCTAGAATCATCATCACAGTCTATCCTCACCTATCAACGCAGGAACCAGGCGAACAATCTCATTCCCCAAGATGAGACATCCATAACAGGTCCTTCTCAATCATCCTCTAATACCACGACTCCTGATAACGATGACTCCAGTTGGCACATTGTCATTCACAAAGGTACTTGTTCTACTCGTAATCATTATCTCATTTACAATTTTCTTAGTTATCATAGATTGTCTCCTTCCTATTGTTCTTTTATTTCCTCTGTATCCTCTATTACAATTCCCAAAAATGTGGTCGAAGCACTTGATCATCCTGGATGGCGACAAGCCATGATTTCTAAAATGCAGGCTCTTGATCACAGCAAAACATGGGAGCTGGTTCCTCTCCCTTCGGGAAAGAAAACAGTTGGTTGTCGTTGGATCTATGCTATTAAAGTTGGGCCCAATGGTCAAGTTGATCGTCTCAAAGTCAGGTTAGTGGCTAAAGGGAACACTAAAATATATGGACTTGATTATTGTGATACTTTTTCTCCTGTAGCCAAAATGACCACTGTTTGCCTGTTCCTTGCCATGGCCGCCATTCGTCATTGGCCTCTTCATCAATTGGATATTAAAAATGTTTTTTTGCACAGTGACTTAGAAGAAGTTTACATAGAGCAACCTCCTGGATTTGTTGCTCAGAGGGAGTCTGGTTTGGTTTGTAAATTACGTCGATCCCTCTATGGCCTAAAACAGTCTCCACGTGCTTAGTTTGGAAAATTCAGCTTTATTGTTCAAGCTTTTGGATTAAAACGTAGCGAAGCATATCATTTAATGTTTTATTGTCACACTGCCCCTAGCAAACATGTTTATTTAATTGTGTACGTTGATGATATTGTCATCACAGGGAATGATGCTGCTAGAATATCTCATCTAAAAGAGCACTTGTGTAGTCATTTTCAGACCAAGGATCTTGGAAATCTAAAATATTTCTTGAGTATTAAAGTAGCTCAATAAAGAGAAGGTATTGTCATCTCTCAAAGGAAGTATGCTCTAGATATTCTAAAAGGGACAGGTATGATTGATTGCAAACCTGTGGACAGTCCTATGGATCCAAAATTGAAGTTAATGGCAGGACAGAGTGAAGTTTTCTCTGACCCAGAAAAATATAGAAGACTGGTTGGAAAACTTATTTATTTGACTATTAATAGACCTGATTTGTCTTTTGCAGTTGGTGTTGTCAGCCAATTTATGCAAGCTCCTTGTGTGGATCATTGGAATGCTATCATTCGAATCTTAAGATACATTAAAAAAGCTCCAAGACAAGGTTTATTATATGAAGATAAGGGAAATACCCAAATTTTTGGGTACTGTGATGCTGACTGGGCTGGATCTCCTATGGATACGCGTTCCACTACAGGCTATTGTGTTTTCTTTGGAGGTAATATCATTTCATGGAAAAGCAAAAAGCAAAACGTTGTTGTCCGATCCTCTGCTGAAGCTGAATATAGGGCAATGACGTCTCTCACTTGTAAACTTGTTTGGGTAAAACAATTCTTGCAAGAATTGAACTTCTGTGAGATTCAATCTATGAAGATGTATTGTGATAATCAAGTTGTTCTTCACATTGCTTCCAACCCAGTATTTCATGAGAGGACTAAGCATATTGAGATTGACTGTCACTTTATTCAGGAGAAGTTGTTGACTAAAGAAATTTGTACTGAGTTTGTTGGTTCCAATGATCAGCTTGCAGATGCATTAACAAAATCTTTAAAAGGACCTCGAATGGAATTCATTTGTTCCAAGCTTGGTACATTCAATTTGTATGTTCCAGCTTGAGGGGAAGTGTTGAAGTATTTATTAGATTAGTTGTATCTTGTTGGACATTTATGAGATTAGTTGTAGACCTAGCTCCTAGAATGCATCTGTTTATCTTCTCTAGGATTAATCATTTCTCTCTATTAATTGTATCTCTGAATCTGTATTTTTATCTTCTATAAATAAGAGAACACAAGAGAATGATTTCAGGCTCTCAAAATCAGTTCTATATTTTCCTTTTTCTATTTCAAGTTTGGTAAACATGGAAAATATCATAAGCATTTGACAGTGTACACACTGTATTCATCTTCTTATTTTTTTTACAGCAGTGTAGAATTAATATACTTGGAAACTTAGATGGTTACCTTTCTTTGCTTGAACATAGAGAAGGAAAATGAGAGAATGACAGATCCCAAAAATCCCATTAAAATATCACCAGCTCCAGGATTAGAGGATGCCTTTGTAAGGTAATATCCTATGATGTAGAAAGAATGATCAACAGAAACAAAAGTATAGATATATTATGCTGAAATAGGATAAATAAAGAATTGCATAGGGGACCAGAGAGAATAACCATATTGTGCACGACAGATGAAAAAAAAAAATTATTTGAAATCAAATGCCAGGTGTACTCTCCATGCAACTAGAAAGCTGAACCATAATAATTACTAATTATTCTCAAACAAAGATCCTCCCTATTGAGTTGAAGAGAATTTTTTGCCAGCAAATGGTTTCAGCTACATCCTAGAAACCCCATGAACACAACTTGTATCATAATATAGATATATTGCCTGAGGGTGCTGGATGTAAAAGATGGGAGCTTCTTTAGTGCAGTTAGGGACACAAGGGTGCATATTGTTGGTTATCCATATCTTAGTACGATGAAGTAGGGTGATTCTTATTGATGATAATTCTTGCACAAACAAGGATTTAATGCAAACTATTATGTCGTAGCCCTCAGGCTAAACACATACAAGACTCTTCATAATTTGTATTTTGAACCTTTTTAGTGGTTCACCTTTCAAATTATTAATTTAACTACGGAAAAAAAGTCTTCAAATTAGAATTTTTTTACTGCATGAGATCCATTCTAATTTTTCCTAAGTGTTACGTATGTCCAAAATCAGCCATCTAACCCTAACTGAATCCCACAAGATGATCATTGACTAGGGGCGACCATTCTTAGAGTAGAAAGTAGTTAATGGTAGGTTCTCCAAGAACCTGTCACTATGATTAGTTAATGCATGCATGTTCTTAAATATACGCTTTATGAATTTCACAGTTGTGACAAGCCAAGACTTAATGAGATTACCATTCCAGTACAATGCATATGGCTTGGAAGCTTGGGACAGGACTGTAGAGGAAAGAAGCCGTGGTAGAAGTCTTATGGGTAGGAAATTACTTCCCATTCAAATGGATAAGACCATTAAGTTTGAGATTTTTTTTTTTTAATTACAAAAATTCCATCTTGTTTTCATTTTGTTTCCTATTTTTAAAATTTTGTATAGGAAACAATGTAATCATTTTTTTTATTATTTTCTTATTTTAATTTTTCAAATCATTATTTCCTATAGTCCTATACAATATTTTTAAAACAAAACACAATAAAAACAAGGTGGCATTTTTTAATCTAAAAGTGAAAAATAGAAAGAATAAAATCCAAACTGCACAACTCCTAAGATGATACTTGTGCTTTTATTTCTTATTTTCACTTGTTTATTACAAAAACGTCACCTTGTATTCAATGTATTTTTTCAAAATTTTGTACAGGAAACACTGACAATAACTGCTTTTTGTTTCTCTGTTTTCCATTCCCAAACAATATTCCCTTAGCCATGATCTATAAGAGATATATAAAGGCATAAACTCTTTCCTAAAAGAGTAAATAACCAAAGCAACAGTTAGCTTGGAAGAAATAAATGAGAACTATTTTCCTCTAGCTTAAAATATGACATTAGGGTAGTAGGGGTTTATAGAATAAAAATTCCCACCATTCAAAATCTTGCCTAGTAGTAAGCAAACAAAATACTCATTATATTAAGGATGTTACTCAAACAATGGTAGGATTAACAGAAATTTATGAATAGTCCAAGAAATTTTAGATGAAAGAATTAACACATGAATCCATGAGTTAGAAGTAATGACTTTTAAATGCATCTGTAGCTCGCAGACCCCAAGTAAACTTGGTGCTGCTTTAAAAAATGCAAATTGAAGAATGATTTTACACACAAAAATTGATTTGATCACATCCCCTTTAATTTGAGTGGCCAATCACAACAATACTGACAATAGGTTCTCCTTTTTCCATTGTGCTAGGAATTAAGATAGGATTTTGCACGATCCCCCTAGGGTCTTTGCTTTGACTTACATTATTCTATTTCCTCTTAAGTTATTTAGATTACATCTATTACATATATAATGTTGACTAGAGTGATCCAGGCACTTCAATAATATGACATCATAAAACAAACCTTAAACAACTCCTTCATATTTATATATAATAAGAAACAACTCATCACAAATTTATGCCATTACATAGTATCTTCTGATTAATTTCTATCATAGTCTGCTACATTAAACAGAAAGCCCTTTCGTGACATAACTTTACACTATTATAACTATCAGGCTGTAAATCAAATCAAATCAAATCAGTTGAACTTAGCTGAAGTTTAACTTAGCATTAGCAGAAAGTCATTAGATACCTCATTTTCCAACTAAAAGGTTTTACAGACCTGGCTTGAACAGTAAAAAGCTCACTACTCATTAAACTTGTCATCAGACTTCAAATGCTTATCATAAATGATAGGTATGTACACTAACCAGTAACAATAAGTTCCAAACTAGTAATTTAAATCTCAAGTTTAGCTTCCTAGTTGAAGTTAGAAAATAGCAACCAAATTCAGAGAAACTTATATAATATAGTAAATAATAGTTATCTTCTAATCATACCTAGCACAGGTTCAAGCCCTGACTTGGAAAAATACCCAAAAGCAAATGCTGTCAGATCTGCTGATAATGCACAGCAAATTATAGGATGGAAGACCTTCTTCACATTTGATGGCAACCTGGAAACAAAAAATAGTAAGAATTAGTGAAATTTCAGTAAAGATAAAATTTCAAACCATAACAGATAGTAGAAAATTTGTAATAGCATGACCATGTGATATAAGAATACTCTTTTTATTGTCACTTCATGAGAAAATTCATACTAGGGTAAAAGCAATTTCACACGTGTCTATGCAGCAACGAAAGGGGAAAAGGAAAATACTTACCCGGAGCCAACCATGTAACCTAACACTGTGGCTGCAAGCAAAAACGGAAGGCATGTTCTGGCACTTGTACCCAGTATTGTAGGGTAAAACAATGCAGAAACAAACGATACAATGAGAACAGCAGTACATGTCCACACTTCAGCTGCAGAAAATGGAGACGGCTTTCCCATAGGCTCAGCTTCTACCAACTCTGTTTTCACAGCTTTTCTTACTGCTATAGCCGTGTAACCAGCAACGCAAAGTGTTGCTAGCCATCCTCCAACTGAACAACAATATAAATATCAGTTCAAACTGAAGACCCAAGATAAACAGTTGATCGATCATAAACAGCTAGGTGGCTCTGAACCAAACTTGAGAGAGGAAAAAAAACACTTGAAAGGAAGCAACTTTGTTAGAACAACAAGAGGGACAAGAAGCATTGACCTAAAATAAGGCCAATTTTGAGGGCAGAGGCAGCGGGAACATCTTTGACGGCAAGGGGCAGAACAACGAGAGAGGGGACATAAAAAAGCGGAAGCCATCTCTGAATGAACAAAAGCGCCGGCTCGAAGAAGCTCATCAATGCCGTAGCGGCAGAGGGCACGGTGGCGTCGAGAGTAATCAGAACCGAGAATATGCAGAACATCCCAAACAACGCGCTCGGGAATTTGATCGACGCAGCCACAAACGCTTTCTTCAGAAACTTGTCCGCCGCCAGAATAAGGCCCAGGGACACCACCAAATGAAGAACACCGAAAACCTAACAAGTAAAACACAAACTGAAATGGTTTCCGTTCAATGAAAGAGTGACACGTGGGGAGAGCGAGGACTCACGGTTTGGGTGAGCGAGGAGGAGTTGGAGGTACTTCCGGTGTCGGCTCCGGAGGATTTTGCCGCCGTGTGTCTGGGTTTGTGGGTTCGGTTGGGGAGCGTTGGTGAGAAAGTGAAGGAAACGGCGCGTTTGGGGAGGGCTTTGAGATTTGAGTTGGGAAAGAACGTGCGGCGGAAGAGTGAAGGAGAGGGAGAGGGTGGTTTGAGTTGGGGAAGTGAAAACGGTAAAGATTGCGTTGTGGTGGTGGCCATGGAAACGGGTATGGAGGTGGACATCCTGCAACTCGAAGGAGGAGAGAAAGAAAGCGTTCACATTTTGTGGGACTTGCGAGAATAACAGAGACAGAGTAAAATTGTATGGACAAGAAGGCATAACATTGAATGGGTTGGGATGAGATGCGAGTGTACATCCATGAAAGTTCCCTCCTTTTTTTTTATTTTTTCTTTCTTTATTATATATTAAAGGCATTCTTTGTTTATTGTATATTACTATCAATTAGAAATTATACACATGTATAATATGTAGAACACATCGAACTTATCATACGTATGACATTTGATAGAATGATTTGCTTAGAAAACTTATCATAGTAGTAGGGCACGTTAAGGTCAGGGAGTGCCACGAAGACCCTAAGTTCCACGATCGCTACCTTTGTGGGTTGAGGAATATATTGCAGATTGCGGCAGTCTTTGCAAAAATATCTAGTACCTTTGTGGGTTGAGAAATACTTTGCATATTGTGGCAGTCTTTGTAAAGAAAAATATTTTCGTTTTTTTTAAATTCTCTTTCTTGTATGTGTGTTTTTCTTTTTATCACTTTATATAAAAAAAACATAAAATTCAAAAATTGTATAAAATCAACAAAAAAAATTTCTTTTAAGCCTTATGATTATCTATATTCTTTTATAAATATTGCTTTACGAGTGTATTCTGTAGATTCTCTTATCCTTTCTCCACTTGTTTGCTGCCTTACTTTTGTGCTCTCTGATTTTCTGCCTTTTTTTAATTTATTTTTATTTTAAAAATTTTAATGGAAGGTTCGCAGCCTTTCACCACACAACCTTTGGTAGGCACTACACAGTCTTTTTCAGGCAAAAACTACAAAACAACTTTGATAGCTATTGAACAAAACATTTTAGATAAAGATTACAAGACAGCTCTGATAGCTGTTGAACAAATTATAAATTTCCCTTTAGCGGGATACAAAAAGTCTATACTAGACAGTATAGATACTTTTCTAGAAGAGATTTCTAGAAAACTAAAAAGATTGATAAAACTATGTGGCGACATAGAGTATATGGGATACTTTAAGTCACGTAGAAAAAACCCTTGGGGTTATTTAGCTAACCCAATTGCGGATAGAGACTACCAAGAAGTTGTAGATACCTTGGTAGTAGAACACAGAGAACTATAGGATTGGTTCTCAAAAACTTTATCAAACCTAGACCTAGGACAAGATAGGTCAGAGGAAAATAGGTATAGTATTTTTACTATCCCTAAAAACGAAAACAGTCTTATGATAGGATGTGAAAAAGAAACAATAGATAATGTATCTTTTGATGACATTATAAACGGATTTTTAGATGAATTTTATCCCAATGAAGATGATATATTGGATAATTCATCTGAAATCTCAGAACCCTTAGAAACCCTAGGGTCTGAAAACATGAGTGTTGAATCAGATGATTTTCAATCTCAGTTAGAATCTGATGACGATTCTATAAAATCACTACAAAATATTGGTTCAGATAACAACCAAAACCCTACACTAGACAATATGCCTTGTACAGAGCTGAGTCTACAAAACCTTAAACTTCTTCTAAACTTAGGAGAAACATTAGACTATTTGGGTAATGGTTTAATGAACACAATAGAGAAAAATACATGTTGTCATGACATTCAATTTTTCTTAGGACCAGGATCCATTCCTTGTCTACATTGTGAAAGATATTTTCACATCTCTCAAAGGGCTCATTGTCCCCTTTGTTACAAAAATTTTTGTATAGATTGTTTAAAGACTAAACAAGGAATACAGGATATACCTACTTTCTTAGGAAAAGAAGAAAGTATAAAAAACAAAAATTTAATCGACACTAGGACTTCAGTCTTAGAAACCCAATTAAACCTAATTGAAGAAAAGGTTCTTCACTTAGAAAAAATCGTTAAAGGAAAAGATACTCAAAAAGATTTAGTATTTACTTATACACAAAATAATATGATGGGAACTACGGAACGTATCCCATTAGTTTGTCATACAAAACAACTAATAACTGTTAAGGTATTAGTTAAATTAAACTTTCCTCAGAAAGACAAATATCCTACCAAAGAGGTTGTAGTTCAAGCCCTCTTAGATACAGGATGTTCTGAAACAGTTGTTTGCAAAACAAAAGTACCCACATACATGATTACCAAGAGTAAACATGTACAAAAAATCAGAACGATGTCTAGTTAAATAATGATAAATGATGAAGAGATAAGAAATATCTCTCTTTAATTTAGCACAAATTGTGACCTGTTTGGTCAGAAAATACACATCAAAACTATGAGAGTGGAAAATTTAGTCTCCTCCAAACAAAACATGATTATTGGTTTAGATTTTATCTTAGGTCAAGATCGAACTATCACTATAAACAAAGATTATGTTATAATTAGTGATAGAACACAAATGTCTCCCATAATTAGTGGTGACAACCCAATATACATAGAACAACCTATGGATGGATGTTCTTGTAATAATCCTAAATCTTCTGACATATGTGATTGTTTGGAACAAGATTTAGAAAACCTAGATTATTACTACACAAATGATATCTTGGAATCTTTTTCTTCCATAAAGATATCAAAAACAATCACGTTTGACAACATCCAACAGATACTGGATAGGTTAAACAAAACAAGCATAATAGGAGAAGACCCTACGAAGTTTTGGGATCGCGACCCTGTTATGTGTAAACTTAATATAATCAATCCTGATTTGATTATAAAAACAAAAGACATACAATTTAACAACTGAGAACAAGAAGATTGTCGATTGCATATCGACAATCTTTTGAAGTTGAAAGTAATAACTCTTAGTGAAAGTCCTCACAGGAGTCCTGCTTTCATTGTTAACAAAGCTTCAGAACAAAAAAGAGGTAAATCAAGGATGGTTTACCATTATAAAAGACTTAATGATAACACAGTCGAAGATGGATATATTATTCCATCTAAAGATATTTTGATAAACCGCATACAAAATGCAAGATGGTTTTCAAAATTTGATTTAAAGAGCAGGTTCCACCAGGTTAAAATGGATCCTGACTCTATAAAATGGACAGCTTTTTCCTGTTCAGAAGGATTATACGAATGGCATGTTATGTCTTTCGGCCTTAAAAATGCACCCGCCATTTTTCAAAGAAAAATGGACAACATTTTTAAGGACTTTAAATCATTTACTTGCGTCTATATAGACGATATACTTGTTTTTTCTAAAACTAAAGAAGAACATTTTCTTCATTTAAAACAAGTATTATATAAATTAGAACACTATGGGTTAATAGTGTCTAAAAACAAAATGGAAATCTGTAAAAGATTTATAGAATTCCTAGGAACAGAAATAGGGAACGGAACCATAAAACTCCAACCCCATATTTCTAAAAATATCCAAGATTTTCCTGATAAAATGGAGGATATTAAAACATTAAGATCCTTTTTAGGACTCTTAAATTACGCCCGAAATTTCATTCCAAATTTTGGTAAATATACATCTCCTTTATACAACAAGACTTCTATTAAAGGAGAAAGAAAATTTAATTCTGAAGACATAAGATTGGTTCAGAATATAAAACAAATGGTAAACCAATTACCAATTTTACAATTACCATTAGACTCTGATTACTTGATAATTGAGTGTGATGGAAGCGAATTAGGATGGGGAGTCATCCTAAAGCGCAAGAAAAACAAATATTCTTCTAAGATAGAAGAACAAATTTGTAGGTATGCCTCTGGCAAATACACTGTTAAACCCCAGGTGTACCAAACCAGCACTGACTATGAAGTCAATGCTATCATACATGCATTAGATGCTTTTAAACTATTTCTGATAGATAAGTCAGAAATAACCATTAGAACCGATTGTGAAGCAATTGTTTCTTATGGTAAAAATCAGATTCATAAAGATAAAAAGCCTCATAGAAGATGACTTTTATTCAAGGATTATATGAATTCTGGAAAAATCATAAACTTTGAACATATTAAAGGTTCTGATAATATGTTCGCCGACATCCTTTCCAGGTATGTCACTACAAAGGACTCTGACAAGTCCTCCAAAGACCAAGACTATGGATAATGACTTGGTAGTACAAAATGACCCTGAGATTCCCCCGGGATTTGGGTTTTTACACAGACCATTAAGATTTGGTGAGACTGGTCCTCATCCTGTCATAATGATCACAAAACACATAAAAGGGCTAAAAAGAAGATTAGCCAAAATACATCTAATTAAAGATGAACTAAACCCTCGTAATTTTGCTTATGAGGTTGCCTTTTGCAAGGCTCACATAAAAACTCTAGAACAAGGACTAGAGAAAATAAAGCATTTTGTTGCTTGATATAACCTATTTTCTGATTGTTTTTCAGGAACAAAAGACCATTGATGGCCTCTACAAGTTTATATAACTTGTTTACTAATGTTTCTTTTTCAAGAACAAGAAATCCAATGATGGATTCTACACACAAAGGGAAAGGGCGTTTAGGTCCGAAACCCACAAAATCCCCATTTATGGTGGGAAAATACATGAAGTATGGGAAACAAGAGTTACCCATACTTACAAATTCCTACCAGTTTCCTGGTAGGGAATCTACAAATGTCAAATTAAATGTTTTAATTGACAATATTTGGAATATTCCAAAATACACAGCTCAGAATGAGCAACAAGTCGCTAAAATGAAGCAAAGCATTATTAGCACATTATACAGTTTCTGCAATGCAGATAACAAGGAAGTTAGGTTGACTTCCGCAACTTCTCCTTCTGGTAAGGGGTTTACACATTATGCCCTAGTTACGGGGGCCAAACAAGGGAGTTTATACTTCCTACAAAGACCTCTCTGAGGCCAAACAAGACCAGTTTTGGTCTAATTACAAAGGTTTTTATTCCAAGGAAGAAGCTCAGATGGCTTTGAAATTGGAAACCATAAATGAAGAAAAATAAAAACGGCCCTTTTGCTTGAACCAAAGGCCCAAACACAAACCTATGCAGGAGCTTGTTGCCTTCCTACCCAGGTTAACCCGAACATCT